GACACAGCAACCCCAGACGATCGTTTCAGCCTTGTTAGGCATCATCAGAGAGGCATAGCTGATATCTCCGTGAGCAAAGAGTCCATGTCTGGATTACCCTTTAAACTACTGGAGAGCAAAAAAAACAGGTTGCATTTACAATGCTTCCTGTCTAAGTCCAAACAGGCACAAACAGAGTCTTTAACCCAAAAATCATTGCAGGGGCCATAGTCACAGGGCAGGAGGCTGGCAAACAGGCTCCTCTAAGAACCAGTGACAAGGCTACTTTCGTGACATGCTGGAAGATCAAATATTTTGTTAGAACCAGGCACAGACAAGCGTCCTTTCTAGTTGGTGCTTGTCCTAGTTGTGACATGCAGGTGTCATTTAACAAGTTCAAAAACCTTATTCCCTTTGCTGAACTACTAGTTCCTCTGTCCCAATTTATGTTGGGGCAATTAAAGTCTCCAATAATTAAAATGTTACCCAGATTTGCAGCTTCCCCAATTTGCTCAAACAGCTGTTCTTTGTCTTCATTATTAACATTAGGTGGTTTGTAACAAATCCTAACAAGTAACTGATATCCCTTCTTTTGTCCCAAGCAGATTCCTACCGATAAATCTTCCACATTTTCCTAATCACATTCCACTTGCTTGAGATTTGGCTTTAAATCTTGGTTGTCATGCAAATATACCTCACCTCCTTTCCTGTTTTTTTTATCCTTTCTAAATATTGAATAACCATTATGTTAACTGCCCAGTCATGTGTCTCATCCTACCATGTTTCTGTTATGCCTATATGACATATTGCCTAGTGTAGGCTATTGCCTCTAGTTTCCACATTTTTGTTATTTAACCTCCTTTCATCAGTTCATCAGAATACATTTAATATTATGAGTCACTTCTATTTTATGTGAATTTGTATTAATATTACATACCTTTTCTGCTTTGAGCTTGCCCCTCCCCCCATCTCCACCTCCTTTGTACTGAGCCCATATACTTTCTGTCCTATCTCTAGTTTGTAGATTACTATGTCCCCCCTCCACCACTAGTTTAAAATCTCCTCCAACCTTCTGGCCATCCTGTACCCCAGCACTGCAGACCCTCTCCTGTTTAGGTGCAATCCATCAGGGCTATAAAGATTGTACCCAAGTGGAAAATCAGCCCAGTGCTCTAAAAACCCAAAACCCTGCTTCCTGCACCAAGACTTCAGCCATTGACCTTTCTAATCTCCCACTACCTTTCTACTGTAAATGTGCGCAGGTAATATCTCAGAGAATACCAATTTGGAGGTCCAGAAAGAAGAGACTGTGGCCGTTGTTGTCCTAGCAGCCTATTAAAACTGTCAGAAGCACTAGAAATACTTTTTGTTTATTGCATTCTAACCCTAATTCTATCCTTAATTTTAACCTCAATCCTAACCCTATAAAATTAGTGTTAAAAGGATTTTCTATGTAGTAGTCAGCAGGGGGATTCCCTTGCTGGTCCTGATCCTAAAATGAATTCTTAAACCCAATCTTAAGTATAAACCTAATACTAAACTTCATACTTACTCTAACCTGAATCATTTATTTAACCCCTTAGTGACCAGAACGCTTTACAATTGTCTTACCGTTTGGGACCAGGGCTGTTTTTAAATTTCTGCAGTTTGTGTTTAACTGTAATTTTTCCTCTTACTCTTTTACTGTACCCACACATATTATATACCGCTTTTCTCACCCTTAAATGGTCTTTCTAAATATACCATTATTGTCATCATATCATATAAAGTACTATATAAAAAAAAAAATTAAAAACACACTTGTTCGAACTTTGACCCCCAAAATCTGTTGTGCATCTACAACCGCCAAAAAACACCTGTGCTAAATAGATTTTTTTTTTAGGGCTGCTCCTGTGCTGCTATATAGTTTTTTTGCAGAAGCCTAATGGCTGGCAATTTTTTGAGTTAGTTATAATGTATTTAACCCAGCTCTGACAGCTATAAGTATGCACAGTTATAACATAGTGTAATATTATGTTATATAGTGATATATTGTATATTTGCACTCTAGTACTTAGTGTTCTTTAAGGACACTCTGTTTCTTTTTTGAACTCTAGGTTCTTGCTGCATTCTTGTATCTTGGGCATATAGGATGCTATTTGACACAGTTCGAATACATACAATGGTGGATCACACTTCTAAAATACACCTAAAATAAAAACATAAAACTATATAGTGTAATACAGTTTAAATAAAATCAAACTGAAGGATGAATAGGTCTTGTACTCACAAGCCTGGAGCCAAATATAATCATATGGCTCCCATGAATGGTGCTGTGGGATTATTGCATAGGACTTCCCTGTCCTTCTTCTTGTGGTACTTGAAATCTCTGAGCTTGAGTTAAAAAATGATGTAAAAATGTATAAAGTAAAAAAAGTATTTTATTACATAAATAAAAAGCAATATGTAAAAACATGGGGACTGCTCTTGTATATAAAAATAAGAAAATATAAGAAGCAGAGTCCCAAAACACAATTAATCCTTCAGGTTGCCCTATCATATCAGGGATAGACTCCATATCTTCCAGAGTTTCGGAATACATCGATACATTATTACAACCTCTTGTTGTGCAAAATCCATCACATCTTAAAGACACTATCCACACATTACAAGTTCTTAACACTATCAAATGGAACCTGAATTACAATCTGGTCACTAGTGATGTGACATCTTTGTACAGCATTATTCCTCACGACATAGGAATTAAAGCTGTACAGCATTTCGTATATAAAGCAGAATTCAAAGAAGAACAAATTCTATTTATTCTGGAAGGTATCCATCTTATTCTTACCAATAATTTTTTTGGGTTCAATTACACTTTTTACGTCCAGATTAGAGGCATGGCGATGGGCACCAAATTCGCACCCAGTTATGCCAATCTATTCATGGCATATTGGGAGGAACGCTTTATTTTTGCAGAACATCCCTGGGTGTCGAATTTGGTGTGCTATCGCAGTTATATAGATGATATATTCTTCATCTGGGACGGTTCGGTTGAACTTCTAGATATGTTCAATTCTTCTTTAAATGATAACGATTGGGACATCGCCCTCACCACAACACACAGTCAGACAAACATTAATTTCTTGGACCTACATATCTTTATACATAACAACTCTATCGTTACTAAGAACTTTTTCAAAACAGTAGATGCTAACGGATACATTGAGAGCACTAGCTGCCATCATAAACCATGTCTTAAAAAATGCACCTAAAGGCCAATTCCTAAGGATCAGACGCAATTGTACCACTGACGAAGATTACATACAACAAGCCACGAAAATAAAACAACAATTTCTAGAAAAAGGATATGAGGAAAACCTACTAACCATAGAAATGGAAGAAGTGAGAAAAAGAGCACGACAAGATCTTTTAACATACAAACCAAAAAATTTGGAACAAGCACAAACCCAAAAGATCCCTTTCATTTGTAACTTCAATGGTCAAAGTAATAGAATCAGAAAGACCATCAGTAAGTATTGGTATCTTTTACAAGAAGACCCAGTCCTAAAAGAAATTTTACCGACCCAACCTCAAATTATCTACAGAGGTGCAGTCAATCTAAAAAGGTCACTAGTACAGAGCAGCGAAGGCCCGAAACCCATCAAACATTTTTTAAACCAAGGAAGCGGTTTCAATGGCTGTGGTACCTGCCTAGCGTGCAGGTCCACAAAAAGCAATAAAAGACACCTCACCAACATACTAGAACACACCAATAGAGACTTTAGCATTAAAGATCAAATCACATGTTTCTCGAAGGGCGTTATATACGTCCTAAAATGCCCATGCAATTTACTGTACATAGGTCGAACCATTAGGTGCTTACATGTTCGAATTTCAGAACATATTCGAAACATAAAAAATGGATTGGAGACCCACAATGTCTCCAACCATTTAAAAAAATACCATAATCAAAATCCACAACATTTATTTTTTTGCCCCTTAAAGAGTGTTAAAAAAGATTGGCGAGGAGGAGATTACAACAAAAAAATAGGGACAGAAGAAATGAAATTTATATTCCAATTCAACACTCTGGTACCAAATGGTTTAAATTTAGATTTCGAATTATGTCATTTTTATTAGGATCTCCCTGTCTATCTTCAAGCGCCTTATAAGCACTCCTAATGCACTTTAGTATTGATCAGAACACTATATATTAAAAAGGTTAAGATGAATTACCCACTAGACTAATAGATATCCTCACAAATATAGATTTCCTCACAAAGATTTATACTCATTAATATTCATAAAATGGCACAAAAATACCTGTTTTATGCACTGGGGTAACACTAAAGAAATATATTATCCAGCGTATATACTTTCTATATGAGTAAGATTGGCTTATTCTAAATGATTTTTAATATATATATATTTTTTTAATTTTTAATATACTTTTTCTTTTTATACATATGCATCCTGATTTTATTTCACAACATCTTTTTTATTACTCCCTCTTATCCACATTAATACCTAAATAAAATAGGAAGTATAACACTCAAAATAGAGAGTATATAAGCTATACTGTGTAAATATTGTTTCTAATTAATTCATGTATATATAAGAACTATATTTTACTATAACTGAGAAGGAGAAATTAGCTATATAAGCCATATTGTGTAAATATTGTTTCGAATTAATTCCTGTATATATAAGAACTATATTTTACTATAACTGAGAAGGAGAAATGAGCTTGGAGAATCAATTTTATGGTGGAACGCATATGCGCTCTAGAATGCGCCCCAATGACGTCGCGCAAGAGCCAGAACAGAGACCCGGAAATGACGTCGACGGCCGCTGGAACGCATCGTGCGTTCCATTGCCGGCAACGAACCCGGAAGTAAGCCGCAAGAGCGGCATAAAAAGACGCCAAGGAGCCCACACATGCCACCACCGACTGAGGAAGCACCACATAAGGGGCGAAACGCGTTTCGGTCTTGTTTACAGACATTTGGACTTACCATTATACTGGCATTCACCTGTTAATGCCTTATTACGAACTTTGAAAGCCATTTGCCTATTTTGGACTCTGCTTCTTATATTTTCTTATTTTTATATACAAGAGCAGTCCCCATGTTTTTACATATTGCTTTTTAGTTATGTAATAAAATACTTTAACTTTTTACATTTTTGTAACTCAAGCTCAGAGATTTCAAGTACCACAAGAAGAAGGACAGGGAAGTCCTATGCAATAATCCCACAGCACCATTCATGGGAGCCATATGATTATATTTGGCTCCAGGCTTGTCAGTACAAGACCTAGTCATCCTTCAGTTTGATTTTATTTAAACTGTATTACACTATATAGTTTTATGTTTCTATTTTAGGTGTATTTTAGAAGTGTGATCCACCATTGTATGTATTCGATATTTGTTATTTCTAGAGTGGTTTGAGGGGTTCCACTTCCACTTTATTCACTGTTATTGCTCTATACTCATTTATTTGACACAGTTGTTCACGGTTTTTCACTTAGACACCGGCACTTTTAGTTTCACTTGTCTAGCTTTGGTTTCACTTAGGATGCTTTCCTAAAGGTGTAGAAACAAACTAAGTCCCTTTATTATCCTTCATTTCGGAAGGTAAATTCTATGTTTTTTCAGCTCACTCTATTTATAGTTTATAGCAACAGTCTCTTAGTTACCACATTGCTTACCGCGGTGACGCAGTGTGCTTAAGTCACATGCGGTTTTCCTGCACTTCCGGGTTTACAATTCTGTTTGGGAGATTCACTTCACGTCTACTGGTAAGTATTTTTACCCTTCTCTATATATTTACACTGTTGGAAGGTATTAACCCCTTAAGGACTGGACTGTTTTTGCGATGTTGTACATTTGCGACCAGGCATATTTTTACACTTTTGTGGTGTTTGTGTTTGGCTGGAATTTTCCGCTCTCTCATTTACTGTTCCCATACAAATTATATATTGTTTTTTCAGGACAAAAGGGGCTTTCTTTACATACCATTATTTATATAATCTCATGTATTTTAATTTAAAAAAAATAAAAAAATATAATGAAAAATTGAAAAAAATACATGTTTTTTTACTTTTACTTGAAAAATCTTTTACTCATCTACAAAAGCGAATTTAAAAAACTGCTAAATAGATTCAAAATTCTGTCCTGAGTTTAAAAATACCCCGTGTTTACATGCTTTTTTGCTTTTTTTTGCATGTTATAGGGCTATAGGTACAAGTAGAATATTGCGGTTTCAAAACATAAATTTTTAAAATTTATCAATAGTGACATTGTAACACTATTATCTGTCATAAATCTCTGAATAACACCCCACATGTACATATTTTTTTTAAAGTAGACAACCCAGGGTATTCAATATGGGTATGTCCAGTCTTTTTTAGTAGCCACTTAGTCGAAAACACTGGCCAAAGTAAGCATTCATATTTGTTTGTGTGTGAAAAAAGTAAAAAAACTAAATTGAACGCTAATTTTGGTCAGTGTTTGTGACCAAGTGGTTACTAAAAAAGACTGGACATACCCCATTTGCAATACCTTGGGTTGTCTTCTTTTGCAAATGGTATGCTATCATGGGGGTAATTCTCATTCCTGGGCTACCATACGCTCTCAAAGGCAACGTAACCAACCTGGCCATTTTCAATGTAAAAATATTTGACCCATATATTTGACCTTGTAACGTTCAAAAATGCTATAAAACCTGTACATGGGGGGTACTGTTTTACTCAGGAGACTTCGCTGAAACAAATTATTAGTGTTTAAAAACTGGAAAACGTATCACAACAATTATATCATCAGTAAAAGTGCTGTTTGTGTGTGAAAAATGCAAAAAAGTCACTTTCACTGACAATATCATTGCTGTGATATGTTTTACTGTTTTGAATCACTAATATTTGTGTTCAGCGAAGTCTCCCGAGTAAAACAGTACCACCCATGTACAGGTTTTAGGGTGTCGTAGAACGTTACAGGGTAAAATACAGTGCTAACAAATTCAATTCTCTGGAATTTCGGCCTGGGTTGGCAGGCAGGTCCCTCAAATTGCAATCAATAAAATTACTGAATTATGTAAAATATTACATAAATACGCACGTAGAATTTAAATATATATGCATATTTATATATTTGAAGTCTACGTGTATATTTATATAATTATTTATGTAATTTTGTATATGGACATATGTATATTTCTTATTATTTTTATTTATTTTATATACATAGATATATATACAAATTCATTCTAAGTGTATTTTGATATAAATATATATATATTAATTTTAAAATACAGTTAGAATAAAATTTCATATAGATATATAATTTTTATTTTTTTTTATTATTATTTTAAATTTTTTTTATTTAATTTAAATTACTTATTATTTATATTTTATAATAATATATATATACAATATATATAGTTATTATATATATGATATATATACGTGTGTAATTTAATTATAAGTGTATTTTTATATTAATATAAGTACATATTAATAAAAAAATACACTTGGTATGACATTATATATATGATATATAGACATATATTAGACAATATAATATATGTCTATATATCATATATATATACACATATATAATTTTTATTTTTTTTATTAACACTAACTTTATTTTTTTTAATTTTTTTACACTAGCAGGGAGACTGCCTGTCAGCACAGGCAGTCCCCCTGCTGGCAGACACATGGACACCTATTGTGACCATGTGATCGCTGTGTTAAGCGATCACATGGCCACAGGGGTCCTAATCCAGTGTGGGGAGACTGTCTGGGCTGCAGGCAGTCTCCCCACAACCGGAGCCACGCTGATCGCCGCCGGGGGAACGACAGCGATCAGGTAAGTACCCCCAGACCGTTAGGACGGTTCAGGACCGTCATCGGTCCTCAAGGCAAAAATGCCGATGACGGTCCTGAACCGTCCTCGGTCGCTAAGGGGTTAATTCTGATCTTGAGAAAGACCTGTAGAGGTCGAAATGTTAATCAACATTTTCTTTGCACAATAAACCAGTTATTTTTTAAGTCCAGGAGTACACCTTTATTGATTCTTTCTTTTTAAACTTTTTTTTTTTTCTGTGTTTTGTTCCCCCCCCTTTTTTTGTGCTGCTGCTTGATTGATTGGGGGAGTGTTCATTAATTGCACCTGTGTGGGATTTGTATCCCCATAAAGGCACACCCCTAACTCACTGAGCTTGCTCACATTATTTGAAAGCAGCCTCTATTAAGTAGACTCTTTCAAGTAGGGGTTAGAAAACCAGGAGTTGAAACTAACAAGGTAATTGTTTTAATTTTCTGTTTCTGGGGAAATGAGTGTTAGCAGGACTGCTGGTTTGACTCAATGCACATCTTGTTGCATGTATGGATGCCTGGATGTACCCGTCCAGGGTCCGTACCTCTGTGATGGTTGTGTGCGAGTGGCTTCTCTGGAAGCTCAGATTGGAGATCTAGAGAAGCAAATCGCAACTTTGAGGGAGATTGACAATCTTGAGAGGAGTCTACTGCTCACTGAGCAGAGTTTAGTGGGGACAGGTAGTGGAGAGGGAGGAGATAAGACAGAAGGAGAACAGGCATGTAGCTTGGTGACAGTGGGGCGAGGAAGCGGGGGGGAGGGAAGAGGAAAGGGCTAGCTAGTCCTGATTTGGTGCAACCTAGCAGATTTGCCCGGAGTAGCTGTATTAGAGGAAGCTGTTACTTCTAACAGCCCCCCTAGTACGGGTGGGGATCAAAATGTAAGGAAGGCAAGACAGGTTGTGGTGGTAGGGGACTCTATCATTAGGAGAACAGATAGGGCAATCTGCCACTCTGATCGGCTCAACCGGACAGTTTGCTGTCTACCAGGTGCTCGGGTCCGGCATGTTGCTGACAGAGTGGATGGATTATTGGGAGGGGCTGGGGATGATCCAGCGGTCATGGTCCATGTTGGTACCAATGACAAAGTAAGAGGAAGATGGAAGGTCCTAAAGAATGATTTCAGGGAATTAGGTAGCAAACTTAAGATAAGGACCTCCAAGGTGGTATTCTCTGAGATATTACCTGTGCCACGCGCTACAGTGGAAAGGCAGCGGGAGATTAGAGAGGTCAATGCATGGCTTAAGTCTTGGTGCAGGAAGGAGGGTTTTGGGTTTTAGAGCACTGGGCCGACTTTGCGATTGGGTACAACCTTTATAGTGGTGATGGATTGCACCTAAACGGGAGAGGGTCTGCAGTGCTGGGGGATAGGATGGCTAGAAGGTTGGAGGAGATTTTAAACCAGTAGTAGGGGGGAAGGGTCATAGCAATCTACAAAATGGAGATAGGACAGAAAGGAGATGGGCTTTAGCACAGTATAAGGGGGGAGGGGCAAGCTCAGAACAGAGAAGCTGTGTAATGGTGAAAATTCACAAAATATACAAGTGACGCATAATATTAAATGTATGCTTACTAATGCAAGGAGCCTAAGTAACAAAATGGGGGAACTAGAGGCATAAGCATACACTAAACAATATGATACAATAGGCATAACTGAAACATGGTGGGATGAGACACATGACTGGGCAGTTAACTTAAATGGGTACATGTTATTTAGGAAGGATAGGAAAAACAATAAGGGTGGTGGGGTATGTTTGTATGTCAAACATGATTTAAAGCCAAATGTTAAGCAAATGGAATGCGAGGAGGATAATGTGGAAGCTTTATGGGTAAATATCTGCTTGGGGGAAAAGAAGGGAAACCAACTATTGGTTGGGATATGTTATAAACCACCTAATGTTAATATTGACGAGGAACAACAGCTGTTTGAGCAAATTGAGAAAGCTGCAAATCTGGGTAACACTTTAATTATTGGAGATTTTAATTACCCAGATATAAATTGGGACAAAGGGACTAGTGCCTCAGCAAAGGGAATTAGGTTTTTAAATTTGTTAAATGACCCCCTTATGTCACAACTTGTACAAACACCAACTAGAATGGATGCTTGTCTGGACCTGGTTTTAACAAACAACGTTGATTTTTTGACCAACATTCAAGTAGGTGAGCACTTGGGAAATAGTGATCACAATATAGTGTCCTTTGAAATAAACTCAAAAAAACCAAAAGCACATGGGGAATACTAAAACATATAATTTTAAAAAGGCCAATTTCAATAAGTTAAGGGAAGCTTTACAATATATTGACTGGCATAAACTCTTTAGTGAAAAGAACACTGAGAATAAATGGATCATCTTCCAACAAATATTAAAAAGGTACATTTCTCAGTATGTACCGTTGGGAAATAAATATAAAAGAAACAAATTAAAACCAATGTGGCTTAGTAGAGAAGTAAAACAAGAGATTACAACTAAGAAAAGGGCATTTAAAACCTTTAAATCGGACAAATCAGATGCATCTTATAAAAGATATAAGGATGCAAATAATGCGTGCAAAAAGGCAATTAGACTTGCTAAACTTCAAAATGAAATAATAGCTGAAGAGAGCAAAACCAACTCCAAAGCATTTTTTTTAAGTACATAAATTCTAAAAAAAACAAAAATAAAAGTGTAGGTACACTAAAAACTGAAACGGGGGTGTTAGTTAATGAAGACCAGGAAAAGGCAGGAATTTTAAATAACTATTTCTCCTCCGTATATATTAAGGAAGAACCCATGGCAATAGATGTGCAAATGATTACTACTAAAAACTTGCAGATTAATTGTAATTGGTTAACTCAAGACAAGGTGCTGCAGCATCTAAAGAAAGTTAATATAAACAAAGCTCCAGGGCCTGACTGTATCCATCCACGTGTACTTAAGGAACTAAGTGTAGAAATAAGTGAACCTCTGTTTTTAATCTTTCAAGATTCTTTTCTTTCAGGAAGTGTTCCGGAGGATTGGAGGAAGGCAGATGTGGTTCCTATATTCAAAAAGGGTTCAAAATCCTTGCCTGGAAATTATAGACCTGTGAGCTTAACTTCTGTAGCTGGTAAAATATTTGAAAGGTTATTAAGGGATAATATTCAAGAATTCCTTGAGAAGAACATGGTTATCAGCAAAATCAGCATGGTTTTATGAAGCACAGGTCATGTCAAACTAACTTGATTGCGTTCTACGAAGAAGTAGAAGTATAGATCAGGGTGTTGCCGTGGATGTGATCTATTTGGATTTTGCCAAGGCATTTGATACAGTTCCACACAATAGATTAGTGTTCAAACTCAAGGAAATCGGTATAGATGAAAATGCTTGTGCTTGGGTAGAACATTGGCTTAAAAACAGAGTACAAAGAGTTGTTGTAACGGAGCTCCTTGTACTCCGACTGAGTACCTTCCGTTGACGGATGCTCCTAGCGCTTCCTGAGGACTCCAAGCAGTGCAGCAGACACCACAACCACCACAGACTCCACAACCGCTTGACTGGAGTCTCGCCGTCTTCCTTCCACCCTGGATCGGCTTCTGTCCTCCAGGACTGTGTGGAAAAGTACTCTTCCTTCCACCCTGTATGAACCTCCAGCATCCAGGACTGTGTGGTGAAGATCCTTCCTCCAAGGAGAGTGTGTCAGGAACAAGCTCTTAAAAGAGCTAAGTGATTCAAGCTCAGGGGAGCATGCAGAACATATCAATCCCCAGTGTGATTATACCAGCTCCCTCCAATAATGAGACAAGGCTACGTTTAGAGGGATCAAGAACAACTGTCTAAACCTTTATTTCCCTTGGGACCAGCCCATAGGGTCACCACAATAACATTGTTGTGAAACCTCAATAAAATAAAAAACAGTCAAACCATAGCAGGCAACACACAGTGACTTATCACAACACAATGGCACATTTTTAAAGGGGTGGGGGGAGACAATATTTAACAGTAAATATCTCACCTGCCTGCAGAATTAACAATATGCAAATCTACCCGAATATGCAAATGAACCAGTCTTGCAATTCAGGTAGTGCATATTGCTGTTGCTACCAACAGAGGGCACTAGACAAGCTCCATAGCCAAACCCACCTAGTGGGTAGCAAACCTCAGCAGTACAGGAGAGCAGGCAATACATGTCACAGTACACACACACACACACACACACACACACACACACACACACACACACACACACACACACACACACACACACACACACACACACACACACACACACACACACACACACACACACACACACACACACACACACACACACACACACACACACACACACACACACACACACACACACACACACACACACACACACACACACACACACACACACACACACACACACACACACACACACACACACACACACACACACACACACACACACACACACACTATAAACAATTACTTTACACACACCCTGCACCTATAATGGGTACAGGGTGACTAAAACATAAGATAAATAAAGCAGCCTACATAAATAGTCTGTCTGAAGGTAGACTAGTGTCTTTAAAGCCAAATACATGAGAGTCATAGTCACAGGGGAGGAGGCTGGCAAGCAGGCCTCTCCAGGACCAAGTGGCGAAGGGCACTTCGTCACAGTTGTCATTAATGGTAAATTTTCAAGCTGGACAGAGGTGGCAAGTGGTGTCCCTCAGGGGTTTTGATTTAACCCCTTAAGGACTGAGCCAAATGTACTCGTGATCAAAACGTAAACAAAACCTGGAATTTGACTATATGTCTGTTCAACCGTAATTCACCTCTTTCATTTTAACTGTAAATGTCATAATACTGTTTGCTTTTACTGCAATAAAATACACATATTTGTATTCAGCAATGTCTCACATGTAAAACAGTACCCTTTATGTACAGGTTTTATGGTGTTTTGTGAAGTTCCAGGGTCAAATATAGTGTGGCGAAACCGACCTCACCACTGGGCATTGGAGAAGACTGATTGCCAGCCTCCTGCCATGTGACTATGGCCCCTGGGATGTATTGCCCTTTAAAGACATGATTTGGGCATAATGGATTTGTGTTGTGTTGCTGCTGGCCCTTTTGGGAACCATCTGGGGACATACTGTGGAGTTACTGGATGGCCACCATTTCCTGTATCAGAAGCACATGGTGAGAACAATGGATGGCGGCCATTTTAACTCACAGACACTGTGTGGACTTTTCAACACGGTGCCATCTCGACAGTATTTGTTGCACAGAGACATCGTGCATGGGTTTTGGACTATACAGCAGGGGACACATTATACAGTGATTGTTTTTTTTATTTAGCCTGTATATGTTCTGCAGAATCTGCATTAAACTGTATTTTCCAAAGTACTGAACGGATCTGGGTGAATTTTGGATATGTGGTTCACCCAGATCCCCCAGTTCCAAGGATATACATTTTATGGGGTTATTGCATGTTTTGGGGTCCCTGTGATGTGTTTTATGAAACTGTATTTCTCTGGCTGTGATAATTAGATTACCCATTGTGTTCAGTAATCATATCACAGCCAGAGGGGAGGATTTTGTGTGGGAGTGTCTGGGTGTATTGTATGGATTGATTGGCTGTTTTGTAACGCCCTGTGGGCTGTACTATGTTTGTGGACTGGGAATAAAAGAGACTGTATGTGACAGTACAGGGAGTTCCCGTTTAACCCTCAAAGTGAAGTGTCGTCTCATTATTGGGGGAAGGATTTATTGTATGCTGTTCCAGTTTGACTGCTAGGAGGGTAAACCTATTCATATGGTTTCCTATTCAACTGTCTACAGCATTCATATGCTTGGGAGAATTCATTTGTTTCTCCGGTTCGGTGATTGTGGTGTCTGCCAGAGTGCTTGGAGTCCTCAGGAAGCGCTAGGAGCATCCTTCAATGGAGGTACCCAGTCGGGGTGCCAGGCGATCCGTTACATATAGCATGTTAAATTTTTCATTTTTTTTTCAAATTGAAATTCTCCAGATTGGCTACGTTGCCTTTGAGACTGTATGGTAGCCCAGGAATGAGAATTACCCCCATGATGGCATTCCACTTGCAATAGTAGACAACCCAAGGTATTGCAAATGGGGTATGTCCAGTCCTTTTTAGTAAACCCTTAGTCGCAAACACTGGCCAAAGTTAGTGTTAATATATGTGTGTGAAAAATGCAAAAAAGCAATGTGAATGCCAATTTTGGCCTGTGTGTGTGACTAAGTGGCTTCTAAAAAAAGACTGGACATACTCCATTTGCAATACCTTGGGTTGTCTACTATTGCAAATGGTATGCCATCATGGGGGTAATTTTCATTTCTGGGCTACCATACGGTCTCAAAGGCAACGTAAGCAATCTGATGAATGTGAAAAACTAAAAAACAAGTCTTATATTTCACTCTGCAACTTTTGAAAACCCCATAAAACCTGTACAAGAGGGGTTTTGTTATACTCGGGAGACTTCGCTGAATACAAATATTAGTGTTTTAAAACAGTAAAACGTATCACAACTATATCGTCAGTGTAAGTGCCATTTGTGTGTGGAAAATGCAAAAAATGTCACTTACACTGACGTATAACTTATAATTGTTGTGATACATTTTACTGTTTTGAAACCCTAATATTTGTGTTCTGCAAAGTCTTCCAAGTAAAACAGTACCCCCATGTACAGGTTTTATGGTGTCTTGGAAAGTTTTTTTTAAAATTATTTATATATGTATGTATGTATGTGTGTGTGTGTATATATATATATATGTATTTTGATATTAATATCAAAATAGTTAGAACGAAATTACCCATATGTATTGGATTTTTTTATGTATTTACATATTTATTTTATATATTTTTTTATATATATATATATATTAAAATACACTTTGACTGTGTGTGTGTGTGTGTATATATATGTGTATATATATATATATGTGTGTGTGTGTGTGTATATATATATATATATATATAATTATTTTAAACTGTGTTTTAATTGTATTTTATTTTTTTCAGGCAGCAGGGGGAGTACCTGCCATTCCAGGCACTCCCCCCTTCTGGCAATGCTGAGGATGGCTATGCCGTCCATGTGATTGTGAGGTCCTCACAAGGACCTCACAATCACATGGCCCAGGAGCACTGGAATGGCAGCAGGGGACTCCCTGGGATGCCAGCGTGGGATTGCCAGCGACCGGGTAAGTACATAGGACGGCGGGGACGTGCTATGGCGCCTGCCGGCATTTAGAGCCGGTCCCCAAGGACGGCATAGCACACCTGCCGTCCTTAAGGGGTTAAATATGTATGTATGTATATTAATATCAAAATACAGTTAGAACATTTAGAATTTTTTTTTATTTATTCATGGTTTTGTACTTGATTCGTTGGTCTTGTTTCCAGTACTGTAGTCTGGAGTGGGAAAGTATGACATCACTTTGTAACATAAGCATGAAGTTTGATATGGTAACCTTTTGACAGAACAGAGTTGCTTGGTATCATAGTACAGTTCCGGTTGTGTGTTTTTTTTTTGTTTTTTATATATAAGTAACTTTTGTAATACTGGTAAAAACATTGACATTTACGGGATATATTTATTTCTACAAACACCTTGGTCTTGTTTTCATGTCGTAACCTTGCAGGGTTGTGGGCCGGTTTGTGTATCCTTAGAGTGAGTGAGTCGTTGGACGTTGTGGCACTGTGTGTTATGTCCTATCTAATTTTGGTGTTGCAGTGCCAGAGAGTGGCCTGTGAAGGTGTAGGCTAAGTGTTTGCTAGGTCGGTTGCTTTGCCCCGCAAGATTGTCAGGTCTGGAGGCCAGGTTCAGGTGTGGTCAAGGTAGATGGTTGTACCATTTGTTCATAGGTAGTCTAAGGAATATACAATTCAGGATTACAAATTGATCCAGCACGCAGAACTGTGTCACACCTAGGACTCGGGGTAATGTATAACTGAACCTTAGAATGGCCAGACTTAACATATCCAAGAATAGTCAATATACTTGCCGAGGTCAGGAACACAGACTCAGACACAATGATGAGGGAAAGCAAAAAGTCAAGGATACCAGTATTCAGGGAAGTCAAAACGAAGCCAAAGTCAAATACCAGAAAATCAAGATCCTGAACACACTCTCGGATTACCATCAGGGCAATGAGTAAAAGGAGAATTGGGTTTAAATACCCCTCCTGTGGATCTGATTGGCCCTGACCGTCCTTTGACCCCAAAAGCAATTACCAGGTTTCCATGTGCATGATTGCTGCTCAGCACAAACCCTCCTGTGGATCTGATTGGCCATGACCGGCCTTTGACCCCAAAAGCAATTACCAGGTTTCCATGTGCATGATTGCTGCTTGGCACAACTTTTCCTGTCAGGACGGTAAATGCCATTAACCACATTATGTGTGGATGAATACATAGGTGGTGTTGGGTAGGTGTCTTCTTCGAGTTGAGGGGGGGGTGTGTGTGTGGTTAGCTCTGTGAGGGTTTATTGCTTGTATTGTGTGTGTCATGGGTGGGTTGTTTAGTTAGTAGTTCGAACAGGAGAGGAAGGGTAAGGGGGGTGAGGTGGACAGGAGGAAGGTCCAGGCATGTGGGGTGCGTGCGTGGTGGCATGGGTAGGTGGGTTCTCAGTCTCCGTCCCGTCTCACCTTCCCCAGGGCAGGTCTAGCATTCTAATTTGTTGGGGTTGTGTTTTCATTGGGTGGTGAGGATGCCGGTACGGAGTTGGTGGTTTTGCTGCGGTTCGTTGGTTCAAGTGTTGCGTAGTCAGTGGTTTCATTGCTGGATACATCTGGGACGTGCGTCCCCCCCAGGCCACTCCATTTGTTCTGAGCCTCTTGTGTTAGTATCTGAGGATAGCCACTAGAGCCAGAGGAACCATGCATCGTGGTAGTTCCATGAGTGCCCTGCCGCAGACAGGATTAGCTCTTCTATACGTCTTATGTCTACCACCCTGTTCATCCATTCACTTAGTGTCGGGGCTGTTTTTTGTTTCCAGTGTCCTGGAATAAGGCTGCGAGCCATGTTCAGTAGGTGCAGTATAGCTGTTTTGTTGAGTCTGCACGTTGGTAGTGTGTTTAGTTGAAGTAGGTATGTTTCTGGTGTGAGTTGAATGTTTATGTCAGTTATGGATGTTAGGACCTTATGTATTGCTTCCCAGAAAGGCTTGATGAGTGAGCATGTCCACCATATATGGTAGAGTGAGCCTAGTTCTTTTCCGCACCTCCAGCATTCCGGGGCGCAGTTGGTCTTCAAAGCGGTTGGGTTTTACAGCGTCATGTACCAGTGTGGGACCATTTTGTATCCCATTTCATGGAATTTGGTGCATATAGAGGTTTTGTGTAGTAGTGTGAACACCGTGGTCCATTGGGCTTTTGAGAGTGGGTGTCCTAGGTCCTTCTCCCAGTATTTAGTGAAGTAGGGGGGGGGGGGTCGTTTCAGGGCTTGGGGTGTTCAGTAAGCTGTATAGCAGCAAGACGCGTGCGGTGGTGAAGAGGGGTCTGGCGCATATGTTCTCAAAAGTGGTGAGTGCTTTCGAGGCTGAATCCAGGATGGGAATGCTCCTCAGGAAGCTTGTCAGTTGGTGGTGTCTTAGGCGGAGAGACAGGTTGTGTGAGACCACTTTCATCAGAGGAGTGATCCTGCCTTGGTTATATATGTCTTTCAGTCTGCACGGGTGTGGGAGTCCCAGGGCTGCAGTGTACTGGGCGGATGTTGCTGGGCTGAATTGTAAATTGTGCAAAATGGGGCACAGTGGTGTCAGTGTTGGAGCTATGTCTTTATGTGTTGATAAGCTCCTCCAGACTACCATAGTCATGTGTAAGGTTGGGTGTTTGTTCGGTAGTTTCTCGGCCATGTCTTTCAGCAGCCATGGGAGCAGTGGTAATGGTGTCTGTGGGAAGCTTGCCTCTATCAAGATCCAGGTTTCATCCTTCGGTGTGTGCGTCCATTCTATTATTTTTCTGAGGCGTACGGCTTGTCGCTATTTGGTTAGGTCTGAGAGTCCCAGTCCCCCATGTTCCTTGGGCTTTATAAGGGTTGCGTAGTTTAGTCTCGCCTGTCGGCGGTGCCAGATTTATTATGTGAACGTTGTGCGTATCTGTGAGAGGAATGTTTTAGGTATGTGGATCGGTAGTGTTTGCAGGAGGTACACGAGACTCGGGAGCACGTAATTCTTAAGTACGCATATTCTTCCGAGCCACGTTATGTGGGGTAGCGTCCATGATCTTAGGTCTTTTTGAATTGTGTCAAAGAGGGGGTGGGGGAGTTGATGCGGTAGGTGTCTGACAGTTCCGCTGAGAGCCAGAATCCTAAATATTTGATTGCCTTCTCGCACCATTGGAAGGGTAGCTCGGCTTTCAGTGAGGTTTCCAGCGATCGGGGGCACCCCACATTGAGGATTTCAGATTTTGAGAAATTGATTTAAAGGTTGGACAGTAGTCTGTTTGTGTCGAATTGATGTATAAGCTCTTTTAGAGATGGTTCTGGATTTGTGATAGTGAACAGGTCATCCGCATATGTAGAGATTTTGCTCTCACCCCATTTTCCATTTATCCTTTCTATTCGAGGTTGTGCTCGTATGGCGTTAATGAACGGCTCCAGGCTGATCACAAAAAGACATTATGTTACAGCCTTATGTAAAATTGTCCCGATCCTATCTTAAGGATACTATGGACCTACTTAATAAATTAGAATCAATAGAGTGGGAGGATGATTATGTACTCATAACTTGTGACGTACAATCTCTATACACTATAATTGAACATACAAGGGGTTGTAAAGCTGTAAAAACTATTCTAGAGAGACAAAAAAAGATGAAAGAAGAACAGATAAATTTTATAATTGAAGGTATCTTTTTAATTCTAAATAATAATTATTTTTGGTTTAAAGACTCATTTTATTTACAAAAAAACGGTACAGCGATGGGGACCAGGTTCGCGCCCAGCTATGCCAACCTCTTCATGACCGAGTGGGAAGAGAGAATGGTGTGGAGCGGGCATGGCTGGGTGGGGAGCCTGGTGGCCTATTTCCGCTATATAGATGATCTCCTTTTTATATGGAAAGGTCCAATCTCTACAGCAAAACTTTTTTTAGACTTTTTAAATACAAACAATGATTGTATAGTTTTAAAAGCAGATTTTAGTCAGACCCACGTCACTTTTTTAGATTTGGATATTTATATTAAAGATAAGAGATTAAATACAAAAACTAATTTTAAACCGGTTCATGTTAATAATTTTATTGGAACAGATAGCTGTCATTATAGGAGCTGGCTTGACAGCATCCCTAAAAGCCAATTCCTTAGATTGAAGAGAAATTGCTCCGATGTTAATACTTTTAAAACTCAGGCGAACATGATGAAGAATAAGTTTATTGAAAAAGGTTACGATAAAGAGAAAATAGATAAAACTATAGAAAATATTACAAACACAGATAGAAAGGATCTTCTAACCCAAAATAAGGGTTCAAAAAATACTAAGAATAATGGGAAAGAGTTTGTATTGCCTATTGTCTTAGATTATAATAATAAAAATAAACAAATAAAAAAAGTAATTAGGAATAACTGGCATTTATTGAAAGATCCTGTATTAGGAAAAGTTATTCCAGACCAGCCAAAAATTGTATTTAGAGGAGCTCCAAATTTGAGAATGCAACTCACACAAAATTATACAAAACAGAAAAAGTCAGAAGTTATAAATAATTTTATGAAAAACAAGAATGGATTTTTTAGATGCAATTGCTGCGTAGCGTGCAAAAAACCAAAAAAAATGGACCGATATATCCATAGTTTTAAATCAAATAATACAGATAAAAGTTACAGTATTAAAAACACAATTACATGCATGAGTAAAAACGTGATATATTTATTAGAATGTCCATGCGGACTGCAATATATAGGGAGAACTATAAGACCGCTGAAGGTCAGGATTGGGGAACATTGTAGAAACATAGAAAAAGGGCTAAAAACCCACTTGGTATCCTCACATTTTGAGTTACATGGTAATGATCCACAGCACTTAAAATTTATGGGCATTTCAAAATTGTCCCAACACTGGAGAGGTGGTGATATAATTAATAAATTAGGCAAGAAAGAAATGGAGTGGGTCTATTTTTTAGACACACTACACCCTAAAGGTCTTAATGCAGAGTTTGATCTTTTTAATTTTTTATAATAAATATTAAAAGAAAAAATCTTTCACACCAGTTTTTATATACTTTGCATATTTATATACTATTGTTATTGCTTACACACCACCTCCCCTGTGTATCACTTTAAGATCTCCATATATGTGCATGGTTCACTTTGTGTATAGCATATTTTTATAATATTGGTTATTTTTATAGATTTCTATGCATGCTTATTTTCTGGTATGCAACACCTGGTATAAACCTATATATTTTGTGTGTATAGCTCTATGATGTCTTTAAAAAAAAAAAAAAAAGTGCTGGCTATCTTTTGTAATTAAACATATGTTTTATTTGCTTTTATTATATGTTTTTATATTTACATTCTTTCTTTAAATTTTATCACCTTGTTAATTACATAATTTACTTATTTTATTCTTATATGTATTGTATCCCATATCGGCAATTTGCCGAACTACAATTCCCATGAACAATACCAGATCGTGATACATCACTTCCGGGTGACGAAACAGTGTTTATAGAGAAATGGACAATGTAAACTACATGTCCCATCAACCATTGGGAGATACGCTGATGTCACTTCCGGGAGCCGCACACAACATGAATGGAGGGATACTACATATCCCAGCAAGCTACGAAAAGACTCGCTGACATCACTTCCGGGTGACACACGCGACCCGGAAGTAGGAAGTGAAATTGCATCAGGACTAAATCACATCAATCAGGAACACTTATATAAAGAGGACTCCATTGAATTTTGGACTTATTACTTCTGAAGAAGCCCCAGACCGGGCGAAACGCGTTAAGTAAGAGATCTGATACTTCTTTTATTACATATTTTTTATTTTGTAACAATAAAGTTATAGTTTTTACTACTTTATTTGTTGTTCCTGATATATCTTGAATCCTGACATATCCTTTGGTGGGGATCATACCACCACATGCTGTCTGTACCAGAGCAAGATATTTGCTCTGAAATTTGTAAGTAGGATACTTTTCCTTTATTTGCACACTTTTTAATAGATATACTACACTATTGGATTTTATTTCTATTTTTATCTTTCCATATACCACTGTGGAGGATTGGATACCGCATTATACCATCACTTGATATCCTGAGACGGGGATTATACCGTCTAGGCGCTATACGGCAGAGCTCTGAGTAGCTCTGCAAAGTATGAGTGAGTCTTTTATAAGCTTTTATATACTCTTATTTCACTTGACATATTGCACTATTATTGTTCTGTACTTTTTTGTCTTGAAGGTTTTATACATTCCTAATTAGAGGACTCTCTGTATGTATATATTTTAGTTATTATTTGCACTGTTTGGGCGCGGTTTACCACTTTTGTCTCTTCTGTTTTACTACTGTGAGCAGGTATTGGGAATTCCTGCTTGGTTCACTGCTGCCCACCTTTAGTTTATTTAGTGAGCGCCTAACTCCTCTTTGTTGTGATCACAAAAAGCATGGGTGACAGTGGGCATCACTGTCTGGTGCAGTTTGTGATAGCAAATGGTCTGGAGAGGATTCCATTGAACTGAACACGAGTGGCCGGGGCAGAGTACAGTGCCGAGATCCAAGCCATCATCTGCGGTCCCACGCCTATGTGCTCAAGCGTGGTCATTAAGAAAAAACAGTCAACCCTGTCTAACGCCTTCTCCGCGTCTGTTGAAACCAAGAGGGCCGGAGTGGTTCTGCTCTGTGTTGCATGTATTAGAATGAGCGCTCTGGTTGTGATATCTCTGGCCTCACGTCCCTCAACAAAACTCACCTGGTCCGGTGTACGATACCCGGCAGTAGGGGTTGCATGCGGAGTGCCAGGATTTTTGCGAAGAGCTTGAGATAGGCGTTGAAACAGGGAGATCGGTCTGTAGCTAGCGCAGGCTGTGGGATCTTTCCCTTCTTTAGGCAGTATCTCCACGTGGGCCAGTAGCGTGTTGGGGTCTAGTGAGCCCCCGTTTGAGATATTATAGAGGGCTAGGAGGTGTAGGGTAAGGGTGTCGGAGAACAGCTTGTAGTATTTTGCCGTGAAGCTGTCCGGGCCCTGTCTCTTCCCCGTTTTGGCTAGTTTAATGGCCAGATGTAGTTCTTCTCTAGTGATATTTTCTTCTAGGGCGGCTGTCGAGTGTGCCTCTAGTTTGTTTGTCATGTAGAGTGCTATATAGGTTTTTTTGTTGTTCAGAGAGGGTCCCAGTGCCATCGTTCAGTGTTGGGGTGCGTGGTGGTAGGCAGTACAGAGCAGAATAATATTGTCATAAGGCCTCTGCAATTGTCGTAGGGGTGTGGAAGGTTTTCCCCGCAAGTGAGATCTTTTGGACATGGCTTTTTTGTCTCGGAGTGCTTTAGCAAGCAGTTTGACGCTTTTGTTTCCGAATGCATAGAAAGTTGAAATTAAAACAGAATTTTCGACATCAGGCAAGAGTTGAGTCTCACCCTAAGGTCTAGGAGTTGCTTGTGGATGTTGTCGTTTAACCCCTTAAGGACACATGACATGTCACGTGACATGTCATGATTCCCTTTTATTCCAGAAGTTTGGTCCATAAGGGGTTAAGGTATTTTTTATGCTGGCTTTCTAAGTGTGTGATCTGAGTAATTAAGTGGGAGATTTCTTGGGAACGTAGTTTTTTCCGCCAAGTGCCATGTTTCACGAGAAGCCCTCTAATGACGCATTTGTGTGCTTTCCATATGGCCGACGGTGCACTTTCCATTGATTTGTTGGTAAGAAAGAAGTGTTCCAGGGTAAAGCCAACGTCTGTATCAGTGGGTCTTCTAAGAGGGATTCGTTTAGCATCCATATCCAGTGTGCCCGAAATGGTTTTGTATTGTCAATGGTGAGGACCACTGGTGCGTGGACTCACCAGGACATTGGTGCTATATGGGCTGAAATCAGTGAGTCCAGTGTTCGATTCCAGTGTTCGCAGAGGGGTGGCTAGGAACTTTTTTGGCCTCTGTCTGGTAAATATATATTCGCAAGCCTGATTAGGGAGTTGCCTAGTTATCCTTTCGGAAAGAAATATCTGCCTTCTTTATCCGCTTTTAGGCTGAATTGGGTGTCTGCCGATAGCAGTATAGCCTCCCCTTTGGTTTTAGAGATGGAGTTGTGTGCGGAGTAGCTGGTAGGGTAGTATTTATTGAAGAATCTAGGGGCTTGGGCTGTAAGGAAGTGGGTCTCTTGAAAGAAGGCGATAGATACCCGGAGTGCCCTTATCTCCCGCAGCGTCCTTGCTCTTTTATGAGGGGAGTTCAGGCCTCTCGCATTGATCGTGTAGAAGATGATGCCTTCTTGCCGTGTTTGGCACCAGGGGTGAAGGGAACTGGAGTGGACGAGCCCATGGTGGAGGGAGTGTGGATGTAGAGGTCCGCAGGGGGAGGGTCTGGTGTTGGGGGGAGGGGGTATTTGGAGGTGTGGATGTCGGTGGGGTGAGAAGTGTCAGGTAGCGAGGTGGGGTAGGCATGGTGAGTGGGGGTTAGAGTGGTAGGATTGGAGTTGTGAATCGGGTAGTGTTTAGTGTTATCAATGTGGGGAGATCGGTGTTGGTGGTGGTGTGTCACAGAGGCGACCTGTGGTAGGGGTGATATGCCGCTGGTTGGTGGATGTGTGGGCACGGTATCCCGCTTGTCAACTTCCCAGGTTAATGGCAGTAAACCCTTGGGGTCGGTAGTGTCGTGGGCCGGCCACGTAGAACATTTAGAATTTAAACCAATTATATAATCTTTTTTTTTTTTAATGTAATTTTATTTTTATTTAAAGTAATTTTTATATATTTATAATATCTCATTATTCTAAGTGTATATTTTAATAATATATATATTTATATAGATTAATATTAAAATACACTTTTAATAATGATTTTAGGTTTGTATGTACATAAAAGTACTTAGATCATTATATATATATATATATATATATATATATATATATTCTAAGGACTTTTTAAAACTTTTTAATAACTTTTAAAACTTTTGTGCAGGCATTAGGGAAACTGCATGGGAGCTCAGGTAGGCCCTCTGCAGGCACTGCACAAGCCGCGATCACATGGCGCGGGAGAGCCAGATTGGGCAGAGAGGGTCTGCCTGAGCTCCCAGGCAGACCCCAGGATCGCAATCGCAGGTGGGGGATCGCCAGTGCTTAGGTAAGTGGGGATTTACTAATGGACGTACCAGGTATGTCCGCGGCCGTAAAAATTTTTCGTTGGACGTACCTGGTATGTCCATGGTCGGGAAGGGGTTAAGCATAATCCAAACTATTTCTCTCTGATATTGTGTAGTGTAGTATGTTGGTGCCATCTACTATTTTCAGTATCTTTATACTGAAAATAGTATGGCAAATGCATTATGATTGGTGCAAGGCAACTGTCAAAGCACAGCCCTGATTACAATGACAGTGTGGCATGAAGGGTGTCATGGTTCTCCATGTGCCATCCAGATGGCTAGGCATGGCCACCCCACAGGTGTCTTACAGGGGATTTGATCCTGGGTCCTTCAGTATCCTAAGCCTGTTTTCCTGCCTCTGAGCCACTGCTGATCTTGACTTATTAGTGTGAGTCTAGCCCAGTTAACATTGCCATGTCTGCAGCACTACGGGGGCTGGACTTCTACTTATCACTTTAAGTCCACCTGAGGCAACTTGCAAATTAGCTGGTATGTAACACTGCCTCTCCCTAAGTGCAAGGTCAGTTGTTTCCTGTTCCTGTAGCTGTTGCATATTTTCCCTGATTTTAAAACTGACTTGGCTTGTAACCCCTGCTTTGGATTGTTCGTTATGGTCTGCTCGCTCCCTACCCTGACCTTTGGAACCGTGCTTGACTAATCTCCTGGATTTGCCCTTGTCAGTATCTACGTACCCGGTTATTGTTCCTGCCAAGCCACTGTGCACAGATTCACAGCCCACATGGCTTCTTACCTGGTTAACGTGGGCTGTGATTATCTGCAAGGGTGAGCAAACATCTCTGCACTACGGACTCAAACCAAGGTATGCCCTTACGGACGGAGATCTGTTTAGACCTTTGAGATCTCCCAAGCACCAAATTCATTGAGAGAATCAAAGTGACTGAGCTTGATCGCCACAGTTAATTTAAAGGGCTAAATTCTATTGATTTTAAAGGGCTATAGCAGTGCTGATTTTCAGCACTACATGCAGCTCATCTACTTTGCTGTCTATTGGGTTTTAAATCCCCATTGAAGAGCTGCATGCCATGTCACTCTTAGCTCTGCCTGCAGCTCACCTGTCAGTGTGGTGCAACTAAAAAAATGGCCCTAGCTGACAGAGGGGACCCCCAAGTATCTATTGCTACCTGTGTTTCCTGGTGTGAGCAATGATTTAACCCTGCTCACACTGCAATCTATTTATTTACACTTTAAAAATGGTATTTAAATAACTTTTTGCTGCACTGCAAACAGCTCTTCAAAATGTCTGCGGCCACTAAATATGTCCCACATCTGACAGAGGGGAGCCCCAGGTATCAACTAGATTTAACCGTGCTAACACAAAATCTGCAGGATGTCATTATGCCCTAAAGGCATAAATAGAGCCCAGTCTAGTTAGAATGTAATGACACGTCCTAATGTCAATAAAGTGTTGATAAGAACAGTTGTTTTAGTTGAAATAGAGATAGCTATTGAATGCAGGGCAGGACATACTGAAGGATATATGGCTGATAGTGAAGAGAAATGTTCTCCCAAACCATAGATGTCTATTTTCTAAAAATTCCAGTGTCATCCAGACAAAGTTGCTGAAATAGTAAACGCTATCCAATAATATGCAGCATACAGATCATTATTTATGTATATATATATATATTACTAGGTATGTTATTTTTGGAAACTGTAAAAACAAAATACTGGCAAGTTATTGGCTTTAAATTAGTTTATATCCAATAGGAGCATTCCATATGCAATTAACCAACAAGGGACACTTTGCATCTTCACATTCTTTGATTTTTTTTTATTTTATTTTTTATAATTATTTAACAAAATCGGCATACTGAAATTCAGCATGGCAAAAAAACAAAACAAAAATAACAGGGTTGAGGACATGTAATAGCCCATTACAGAATGTCAACATATTAGACCAATCAGATTCAAATATTTAAAAGCTTTAGATAAAATCGGGCACTTATGCAGGATTCATGACCCTGGTACCTTTGCTGATGGAATAAAGTGGAGACAGCAGCAGTTGTGTAAGCCATCAAAAAACACAAATTATATATACTGTACACTGTTCGTTATCTATTACCTTACAAGTGATACAGGTAGTAATCTTGTATACAATGGTGGAACACTATTGTGATAGAAATCAAACAAATTGCTTACCCTTATTGTAGTGTACAACCACAGTAGGATATATATATATATATATATATATATATATATATTACAGACCAATATAGCACATGTTGCAATTATTATATGTGCATACAAATGGTAATTTTACAGCAAGACAGGAGGTTCGTATTATGCATTAACTTTCTTTACTTAACTCCAGCTGCAGAAATATTTTTTCAATAAAGTTTAGTAAATAATCCGAAGTGAGTTCACGGTTCGTCAGTATTCGGTAATTTTTATACGAATTGTTACTTTTCGTTTTTTTTGAATGACTCTCGTTCGGTAGTTTTCTCGCGAATAGCGGCCATTCGTTTTTTGCATTAGCTTATTATACTCGCGTTTGAACAGTGAAATACAAGTTCGTACGCAGTTTAATTCAACAGTTTTTCATGCGAACCACTGTATGCGCAATTTCAATTAGTCCCTCATAGATTGGTGACAGTATTATGGGTGGGAATTCCAGTTAATTGGTTTTTAGCTAACTTTCCTGCCCACTTTACCTCAGCATTGCGTTTCTCCACAACTTTGTTGCTCTTTGTTGGTAATTATTATAAGTTTGAAATTATATGATTTTACCTAATCTTTTGCAACATTATTTTACTATAGTAATTACAATTTGTTGCAATACTAAATTATGAATTCTACAGAAATTAGACAAACTCCTTCTTAGTCACCAAAACCTGGTGCTACTCATGACTGTGAAATAATCACTGAGGGTTCTTTACAAAATATTGTAGACTTCTCCGTTCACAAATCAATTTCATCTGCAATGTCTTTCATGCAAGAAACAAATGCAAAGTCTGTGGCTCAGGCCATAAGCAATTCAAAACCTAGTGATAAGACTCAATTAATACTCCTTCAGACCAGTTCTGGTCACCTGTAGAGTCAGAACGGAATTTAGCTCAAGGATTCAGGAGGTCTGGGAAGGCCACCCAGAAACGCAAGCACTGTTTTGACGGTCTTTTAGAATCCCCTGGCTGTTAAGTCAAATAAGATGGGGAAAGACCAAGATCAGAACAAAATGCGTGTCTCACGCAAAACTGAAGAGTGCAATCAATTACTCAAAAAGCCCTCTGCTCGTGAGGAAGATAGACTAGCTCGGAAGGCCATTCACAGGAGCAAATGTGACTACTATAAAACCTCCTCAAATGATGACATCTTCAAACTCAGAAGAGGAGAAATCTGAATCTGCCCCAAATTATTCACCTGTTTCAGAGGCACCTGAGCTTCTCGCTAAATTCGCTCTATGCAGCTTTGCAAAACCAAAATCCCATTGTTGTATTGTTCTCAAGATGGACAACATAATACAATACATAAATCACTTGGGAGGTACATAATCCAAGTGACTGGCACTTTTGCTTCGATCGAAACATAGTTTTACAAGCAGAATATCTTCCCAGCCTTTCCAAAACAGTAGAAGATTGGAAGTCACGTTTCCTAGTGGATTACAGAGACTGGATGTTGGATCCCAACATCTTAAAACAACTACTTTCCCTGTGGGATCCATTTCAATACGATCTTTCCATCACGACTCAATCGCCAATTAGAAACATTTTTCAGTTGGCTTCCGGATCCAGAGGCAGCAGATCGGGATGCATTCCTCCAATCCTGGAAAGACTGTCAATTATGCATTTCCCCCATTTGCAATGATATCCCGGGGTACTTCTGAAAGCATGGTCTCAGAAATCAACCCTACTGGTAATAACCCCTCTCTGGCCATCACAACCATGGTTCCCTTAGCTTCTCAGCATGCTGATAGACTACCCACGACTCATACAGATGCATCGGGATGCTCTTCGCGAGCCCGAGGGAAATCTTCATCCTCTAGTACGATAAGGCCAACTACCTTTTAATAGCATCTCATCTCGGGTTATACTAATCTTGTAGTGACTAGAGACTTTCTCTCAGAAGCATGGGCACCAGGTACCCGTGCAAATTACAGATCAGCCTGGAAAACTTGGCTTAATTGGTGCAAGGAACGGGCTGTGGATCCTGTACATTCAGATTTAGCAAACATTCTAAATTTTGTCAGCATCATTTGACTCAAGCAAGGCTTATCGCACCATTAATGTCTATCGATCAGCTATCTCAGCAAATCACGACCCTATTGAATGTTTCCCTGAGGGCAAACATCCCTTATTCTGCAGACCTATGAAGGGTATCAGATTCACGCGTCCTCAATACAATTCTACTTGGGATGTTACACTGGTAATAGAAGCGTGGGGTGACAATGATTCGTTATCCTTAAAATTTATTTCGTTTAGGCTTACTATGCCTCATTTCATATGAGTTTCTGACGTTAAGGCTTTAGACTTAAATAATAGACAATACACTCCTGGTGGTGGTAATTTTTCTTTGTTAGACATACCAAAACTAATCTCTGCTCTGTGTTCCATCCTTCTTTTTCTGACCATCCTCTTGCTTATCTCTTTTTTCGTAAACCTTTTCTGCCTGTCTCCTCTAAATCTTTAGCAAGATGGGAAAGACAAACTATGTCTATGGTAGGTAGATATTTCAGTGTTTGGAGTTCACTCTTCAAGAGGAGCTATGACCACTAAAGTGTTTAAAGCAGGAGGCTATTTATCAGACCTGTTAAACTGCAGATTGGTCTTCCGAATCTACATTTAAACAGTTATTTTAGACCTAGCATTCATGTTTCAAATATAATATTGTAATATCTTAACAGTGTATTTGAGATATTTCTATGGTTATTCAGCTTTCAACATGCATAATACGAGCCTCCTGTCTTGCTCTAAAATTAAGGATTTTCCTAGTCTTGACGTCAGAAAATATAGATTTTATTAAAGACAGGAGTCGAATATTATCCCTCCCATTAACCCACCCTGTTCTTTATGTTTCAGCTTAATCCTGTTTGGAATTTCGTCGTCCTTATCCTTTGAGTTCACTCTACTAGATACTACTTCTAGATTCGCAGCTTGAAAGAGGAAGAATATTGGGGATCATTCACGATATAGACTATGCTGGATGCTGATTGGCTACTTTTTTTTGTCTTTTATTTACTAAACTTTTTTGAGAAATGTTTCTGTGGCTGGAGTTAAGTAAAGAAAGTTAATGCATAATACTCGCCTCCTGTCTTTAATAAAATCTGTATTTTCTGAGGTCAAGGCTATGAAAACCTTGAAGCTGATTCACTCACACGGACTGGAGTCCAAGTTTATTGGCTCCTTAATTAGCGCATCTGTGCTTTCAGGGTAGCAACACAAAGCACTGCGGAATTAGTTGGCACTATAAAAATACCAACAACAAAAATAACCCTCTCCTGGAGTAGATGTACCACCACTTAAAGCACAGGTAATAATGGAAAACCCAATAGTGTATTTTAAAAATAATTAAAACTTTCAACCATATAATCAAGTAGTTGAGCACACGGTTTAGAGCCATAAAATCCTGGCTCTGAGGTAAATAAGCTTGGAGCCCATTTGAGGGGTGGCACTTTACCCATTAATGAGGTTCCTGGAACTCCACAGGACCACAGAAAAGGGCTATGTGTAATTTATTAATCCAATTTAAAACAATGATAATATATATATATATATATATATATATATATATATATAGCGAAAATAAAATTAATATTGCACTTGCTTCAAACGGTCCTTAAAATTGGCAAAATGCATTTCACTCAAACCTTGAGCCTCTTCAGTCAGCTGATGGAAATCCACAATTTTTAAATGTGAGCTCGATCTTCCCTCCAAAACAGAGGTCTAGAAGCCAGCTGAGCATCATGGGAAATGTAGTCCAGAAATAATTTATGGTGTCAAGGTTAACCATCACTGGTCTAGAACCACTACGGTTTTAGAGAGCACTGGTTATTCTAGTTACCATTATCTAGCTAGCTCCAGTTTTCCGTGTTTGCTCTACCAGTACATAGCTCAGACTATAAATTCAATATTTTGCCTTATAACTGCAGAAATGGTGTTCATCTTCTAGTTTTGTTTCCTAAAACGTGCAACAATATTGACATGTCATGTTTTATATTTACAACTTCCTGTGTCATATACTCTTGTGGTTATGTCATCAAAACCTTGTTTGTCTAACACTGGGGAAAAAAATAAAATGAATGAATGACAAAAAAAAGTTACACCTTACTGCAAACCACAAAATGCAACGTCAAAGAGGATATCATTCAATCTAGGCATGTATAAAAGTGGATTCTTATTTTCTTTAAAAAAAAAAGTTAGTATTGTAGAGGAAAAGAGAACATGTCCCTAAATGGGCACAATTGTTAAGTCAACTCTGGCTCTAAATGGGTGAATAATGAATGAAAATTTTGTAACACTGTAGCTTTCTACGTACATCATGATTACAGTGCGCATACAAACACTATTGTATTTTTGATGTAGTCCTGTCTACCAACACATTTGCTTGAATGGCATTGGTGTATATTTGAATCACAAAAGCAAATAATACACCACTTTCTTGCATGGTACAGTGATACAATGAAAGGTGATACAAATAAAATTCAATATAGGTCTTTCATGCACCAGATAGACAAATCAGTCATGACGAAAAAAATTGCCAAAATGCATTATTGATGTTTTGCGCCACAGTCAAAATGGAGTAGTAAATACAAGATACTCCCTCTTGGCTATGTCCAAGGTAGAAAGTTGACATGCAGGGCTGTCCCAAGAATCCAGTATACCAAGAAATAGCCTAGCAGTACACGTGTTTGGGGTTGCAGTGACTTCCATGAACGGAGAAGACGAACGGCAGGGTTAGATGATACACAACCTCTTTCAAGACCCCATATCCAGGGCTCATTTTTCTGGAGCTGGTGAGAGCAGTACCAAAAGAGTACTGGAGAAGATGACAAAAGCAGTCGTGTGAGGACCTGTGGAAAGCAGAAACAAAATTTAGGACCTTTTCAGGGTGTGCGTTTTTCTTAAAAACTGAACACAATAATAAGCACTATCTAAAGACACCTACACCACCCACATTTTGGCTTGCATTCTCTTCAATGCACATTTATTTTACTATTTTCTCTATACATTATACAAGTTTTCTTTACCTGTATATGCATACAGAGGACTCCAAAAACCACAAGTGCTGTAATGTGTGCCACATAAAGGAAAACTCGATGTCCACAATATCCACTGGATGACTTCAGCTGTACTGTCCTCAGTCCCAAACTTATGCATAGGTATGGATTGGCCTGAAAATACTCCCATATCGCTCTAGTGCTCAATAATATCACTGGTAACGCCAGAAGAAAATTTGGAAGCTGGCGCAGCTGAAAGTAGTGGAGGAAGCCAACTCCCCAGTACTCACTTTGTATAGAGGAATAGGCCATCGGAAGGTAGGTTGAGCACCAGGTGGGAAATTGTGCACCTGGAAGACGGTACTCCTTAGTTATTGCTAATTTAACTAGTTCTCTAGGAACTTTATTTTTTGTTGCAGAGGCCAGGCAGAATCTAGAATAACTAAAATACTGGAAAAGTGCAAATGGAAGAATTACCACAAAAGTCCCCAGAAAGGTCCTTCCCATTCTATGGCAATTTCGTGAGCCATTCACCAATGATTGGACCACTGCATGCAGCAAAAACCCCACATTGGTCATACCATTGGAACGAGAGGCTGTGGCAAGGGATAGAAAAATACAACCACGTAAGATCATGTGCTTTTCCAGTAGCCACAATCCTATAAAAGTGGCAAGTGCAAACAAGCTCTCTGAGTAGGCAGCAGTCATAAAAATTGAAGCTGGGCTCATGCAGAAAAGTAGGGATGCCAAAAAAGCAGAACTGCGAGACTGCAGAGCTACACAGCCCAGAAGGTATAATGAAATAGCTGCTAATGTGAAACAGAAACAGTTTAGTAGAGCAGCAGATACCAGAAGTCTACTGCGTAAGGTGAGCATCCATTTCAAAGGATAAAGTGGTCCATTGGCCAAACCAGTCAGACAGAGAGGGAGCAATGGAAAGAATGCCATATTGTGTTCATATACATATCCATGTTCTGCTATGAAGAGGAAATGTTCAGCATCCCATCTTCCAAGCCCCCCTAGAAGAAATTCTGTTAGGTGATCCCCCGTACTATCTGGAGAGGTATGTGGAGGGGAGAAGGCATCAGCTTTATGGTCTGGAATTAGAGTGTTGAAGACTATCTGGTGAAGAGATAGAAACATGACAATTTACATATTACTGTTTGTATATTTTCAGTTTTTGCATTAATTATTGCTGAGTAACACCATATTTGTACAATTCACATATTGGGATCTGGAATTATTGCCACAAAAATCTGAATAATTCTAAACAAACACAAGGAATTTTCTGCCTGGTGCAGTGATTGCTCTGTGTGAAAATGCAGTAGTAGGCAAGTTATTTTGAACAGCAACTGGTCAGATAACCGTAAGAGCCAACATGGCTCCTCAAAAAGAAAAACTATTTCAATATTATAATAAACTTTTTTTTAAATGATAAGTGTAAATCTGAGGGCTTCTTATCCTGTTGTCCTTGCTTAGAAATTGTGGGAGAACACAAAGGGAAAATATGGCAATTGAGTGGCTTCCAAGCTAACCCTTTTTGGGGTTATTAGGTTATTATAGGAGGATCTAGATATTATAGGAGGATCTTGGAATGTTATTATCCAAGATAAGTCACTCCGTTGTCTGGGCAGATATAGTATAAGTGCCACATGATCAAATAAACAACTGTATTATTATTTTTTTAAGAATTTTACACTTAAACATTGACATGTGGCATACGTGCAGCTCAGCCATCTTTATTGCACATTTTAGCCAATATCTGAAATTATCTTATGTTTCGCATTACTTGTATAGCTTGCCCATTAATCAGACTTGATCACTAAAATAGAAGATTGTTTCTATACTTAAAATACATTTTCTTTGCCTTATTAAAGCCATAGCAGCATTATACTCTCTCACTTCTTCTATCCATGGTTGTGGAGACAGTTGCTGCATGAAAGGGAGTGAGCAGTATTGTGTATAGTAATTTCACAGTTCTGTTTTCTGTCCTTTTTGCTATGAGGGAAGAAGATACCCATAAGCAAAAAAGCTTTATTAAAAAAATAATAATAAAAAAAAAGTATAGTAAATAGGAAGCAATTTTACATTTTTTATATGCTCACTTTAAAAACTTTGATTTATCTCTTACGTATCTGTATCATGTTTTAAAAGACGTTTTATTTACTTTTATTCAGCACCAGGCAAAACTCATGGCACTCTTCTGCACACCCTCTCCTGGCATCACAGGAGCAACACTGTGCTCCACTCACAGGCTTCTCACAGAATTTGTGAGTTGAAAATTCTAGCCATAGATCTACAGTGCCAGAGCGTCTAGTGAGAGTTGAATATTAGATACACAAAAAGAATGTGGGAATAAAAGGTGTAAACTAAAAATGAAAAAATTAGATACTTACTTATATCCATAGGAGTTCAAATCTGTTTTTTGTATTCCACCGATTTGATTAAGTATTCCTCTTTACACATTTTTAAACTTTTGGGGATGAATTTTATCTTTGAACATTTATCAAAGAAGTTTTAAAAATAACAACACAGCTACCTTGGACACCATTGAGATAATTGAGAACCTCCATTTAGAAAAATCTTTACATTTCTATGCGGAGGCATCAGTCTCATTCCACATGTTTTGAGTAAGGTGTGAATTGCAGTATTATTTCTAACCCTAATATCAGCAGCATACTTACCAATTTTCATTATTCCTATATTTCAATCCAATCACTTATTCTAATTGGAAATTGTAAGTGATAGACTGTTCCTCTCCTATGGAATTAGTACCTTGCTGTTAAGTTGGTCCCAGGTTTCATTCCCTTGTGACCTAGGTACTTTCAATCCCTACCCCCTCCATCCTTACATGTTGTTCCCTGAATATATGATACTCTTCAGTATTTTTTCTATCCCTAATATCAGCAAACTTATTTTACATTATTCCTGTATTTCAAGCCAATTACTCATTCTTATTGGAAATAGAAGTAAGGTCCAAAATATTTTAGATGATTTGTCATATTAAGATATACATAACCCTCTTCAAGTAAGATAATACATTTGCTTGTGAACAAGTCAACTGGTTATTATAATTTGAGAATTTATTTGATCTATCTACTTATGGGCCTATACACATTTAAAGGGCTAACCGATATAAATGTGATTGCATAATGAATGTTTCTTTCTTCCCCTTTTCATATTATTGCACTTTTGTAGCACTATAATAGTGTATTATTAAACAGAAAGTTTCTCCCCCCTCGCCCCCATATTAATAAGTAGTAATTGCAAGTGACAGATTGGGTTCCACCCCTAGAGAATTTGTACTTTGGGGTTAAATAGGAGCCAGGCTTCATTCCCTTGTGACCAAGGAACTTTTTAATTTCTTTCCCCTCCTTTCTTACACTTTGTTCCCAGACTATAGGATACCCTTGGCCAGACTGTGGAGAGATAATTAGAACAAGAGTTAATTTGGTTTCAGTTGAATACAACCTATGTATTCTTTAAATAACCAATATTGTATGGTAGAGTAGGTCCCAGGCCTTAACCCCTGGTGACCGCAGTATCTAGTATACCTTCCGCCCCGGCTCCTTCTATTTTCGGTTTCTCCAACTCAGACTAACCCTACTGAGACGGTGAAGGGATTTTTCAGAACATAAGTCCCTCTAAGTTTAGTCTCAGATTTTCAATAGGATATTTGATGTACCTAACAAAAAAACTAAAGCACAGCTGTTTATTTTTTATAATTTCATTCTATTAGTTATTTCTCAGTTACTTACTAATCTATGATTAGGAATAGAAATGTGTACTACAGTTCTGTGGGGGTCCAACTACCATTAATGGAGGAATAGTAGAACATATTTATATATTACCTCATTCTTTACTGCCTTATAGTGCAACAAACTAGACTTTGGTGACCAATGATCTTCATATAGCATAATTAATTAATAAAGCTTTTGAATAAGGAGATACACTTATTTACACATTCTTTTTTTGTTGTTGTTACTAGAGACTTAATGGGCTCTGTTATTAAGGGGGATTGGATTTGGCTACAATGGGAACTATGTAAATACTGTTGAGCTCGAAAGTTTGCATACCCTTGGATAATTGATAATATATGTACCATTTTTAAAGAAAACACGAGTAAGCAGGCAAAACACCTTTCTTTTATTTATTATGGGATTCATATTTAACTGTAGGATATAACAGGATGGCACAATCAAAAAACAAAACAAATAAAAAAATTAAATGACCCCTGGTCAAAAGTCTGCATACCCATAGTTCTTAATACTGTGTATTGCCCCCTTTAGCATCAATGACAGACAGCTATTACAAAAGACTGCACGCTATGTGGCTCCTAATTCTTGCAGGTGGTATAGCTGCCTCCAGGTCATGCAAAGTCTTTGGTCATCTTGCATGAACCACACGTTTAAGATTTCCCCAGAGTGGCTCGAAGATATTAAGGTCAGGAGACTGTGATGGCCACTGCAGAACCTTTACCTTTTTCTGCTGTAAACACTGGAATGTCAACTTGGCCTTGTCCTTGGGGTCATTGTCTTGCTATAAAGACCAAGAGCATCCCATGTGCAGCCTTCGTGCAGAAGAATTCAAATTGTCTGCCAGTATTTTCTGATAACATGCTGCATTCATCTTGCCATCAATTTTCACAAGATTCCCCATGCCTTTAGAGCTCCCACCCACCAAAACATCAGTGAGCCACCACTATGCTTCACAGTGGGGATAGTATTCTTTTCACTATAGGACCTGTTGACCATAAAGCTCTATTTTGATCTTGGCACTCAAAATAACCAGAAGCTGTGAGGTGTGTCAAGATGTTGTTTGGCATATTGTAACTGGATTTTTTTTTTGCATTGGCACAGTAAAGGCTTCTTTCTGACAACTTGACCATGCAGCTCATTTTTGTTCAAGTATCGTATTTTGCTCTTTGAAACATCAACACATGTCTTTTCCCAGAGCCTCTTGTATTTCTCCTGAGGTTACCCGTGGGTTTTTCTTTGTATCCCAAACAATTCTTCTGGCAGTTGAGGCTGAAATCTTTCTTGATCTACCTGACCCTTGAATTTTCCACTTCTTAAAATGCCCTTCTCCCTCCCACCCCCCATCCCATGTTGCTGAAGGGGTTAAACCCCTTTAGTGACTTACCTGAGTCCTCTGCGTTAGGTCAGGCCCCACCTACTCTCCTCCCCCGACGTCAGCAGGCGGGCGAGACCTCGTGCGCATGCGCAGCAATGGCCGCGCACGCCCATTAGACCTCCCCATAGGAAAGCAATATTCATTATAATGCTTTCCTATGGGGATTTCGGGGACACTGGAGGTCCTCACATAGTGTGAGGACGTTCAGCATTGTTTTAAAACACTTTCATGTTCTAAGAACACAGACGTCCCTCTAGTGGCTGTCTGATTTATAAAAACTGCAATAATTACACTTGCAGGGATAAGGGTGGTGGGAGTTGGCACCCAGACCACTCCAATGGGCAGAAGTGGTCTGGGTGCCTGTCGTGTCCCTTTAAGTGTTTGAACAGTATTGACTGGCATTTTTTATCTTTTTATATCCTTTTCAATCTTTATAAAAGTCCAATTACCTTGTTACGCAGGTTTTTTGACAGTGCCTGTCGTGTCCCTTTAAGTGTTTGAACAGTATTGACTGGCATTTTTTATCTTTTTATATCCTTTTCAATCTTTATAAAAGTCCAATTACCTTGTTACGCAGGTTTTTTGACAGTTCTTTTTCTGCTCCCCATGGCCCAGTATCTAGCCTACTCAGTGCATCCACGTGAGAGCTAAACTCATTGACTATTTATACACAAATTGCAATTCAAAAAGCCACAGGTGTGGGAAATTAAACTTTAATTTCTATTTTAACCTGTGTGTGTCACCTTGTGTGTTTGTAATAAGGCCAAACATTCAAGGGTATGTAAACTTTTGATCAGGACCACTTGGTTGATTTCTGTTATCGTTATGATTTAAAATGGAGCCAAACAACTATAAATGGCTTCATATGATTACTATCCTTTAATAAAATATGCATAACCAGTCATATTTTCAAAACCAATGCCAAAATTTCACAATTCCTGCCAGGGTATGCAAACGTTTGTTTCTTGTGTATCTAATACTTAACTCTCACTATCTAATACTTAAAGGACCACTATAGTGCCAGGAAAACATACTCGTTTTCCTGGCACTATAGTGCCCTGAGGGTGCCCCCACCCTCATGGACCCACTCCCGCCCGGCTCTGGAAAGGGGAAAGGGGTAAAAACTTACCTTTTTCCAGCGCTGGGCGGAGAGCTCTCCTCCTCCGTTCCTCCTCCTGGGCTGAATGCGCACGCGCGGCAAGAGCTGCGCGCGCATTCAGCCGGTCGCATAGGAAAGCATTTACAATGCTTTCCTATGGACGCTGGCGTGCTCTCACTGTGAAAATCACAGTGAGAAGCACGCAAGCGCTTCTAGTGGCTGTCAATGAGACAGCCACTAGAGGATTAGGGGGAAGGCTTAACCCATTCATAAACATAGCAGTTTCTCTGAAACTGCTATGTTTATAAAAAAAATGGGTTAACCCTAGAAGGACCTGGCACCCAGACCACTTCATTAAGCTGAAGTGGTCTGGTTGCCTAGAGTGGTCCTTTAACTCTCTTGTGTATCTAATACTTAACTCTCACTAGACTTTCTGGCCCCCTAGATAAAAGGCTAACTTTTCTACACACACACAAATCCATATTAGTTAAAGGTCATGTCCTATGCCACTTCTAGTGCTGGCTGGACGCTGATGAACTAACCTTGAGTAGAATCACCTGTTTAATATTCTCCTAGATAAGCCTTTGATTGAACCTTTTAAATGGCTCAGTCAACAGATGAAAAAAAAAGAGAATTGACAATAGGCAGCCCAGAAAAAAGCAGAAGTGGACATGGTGGTTGGAGTAACCTTTTAGGCTTATTTTCTTAAACCCTGGACTTGAAACCAGTGTTACTTTTGTAATGTATTATATAAACTCTTTAAAACTGCACAAATAAATGAGATACAGTCAATTGGATATAGCAAATCACATAGACATTGCATCTTTTACATTGTTAGATAGTGAGGGCTTAAATGATTTGTAGTTCAGTTGTCAGCTTCTATTGAGTGCATCACTGTAAAGTAATTGCAGTTTGCATTTGCACTTTGCAGAGTAGTTTCAGTATGTTTTCACAAATGCAATCACTCAACCACTCATCCATCAGGTTGCTGTACATGCTTTCAAATAAAAATGTATAATTCATATACAAGATACATGAATCTACAGAAAAATTACAGCACTCACCTGCATTGCAAGTGTGATCCCTCGAGAACACAGAGAAAAGCGAAATACCTCCTTGAGGAATGGGTCCCAGGTCCACCACATGTTGCTGTGGATTTAATGGAATTCACATCAATCTGGTAAAAGACAAGATTAAGCATATAATTTGCGTACTATCAATGTTACTTACTAAAAGTGAATTTCAGATTTAAGTTCAAAATAGCGAAATTGGAAAGTTTCCCCTAGTCGGGTATGTTTCCAGTTCAGGAATTTTTGTCTAACATTTTAAACTTGCTATGAATTCCTGACAATTCTCTCTTTAGTGAATAATCCAATAATAAAATCAATTGCCAATATGGACAATGTTTCTTACTTTCAATTTGTTGAGGCCTCAGTGATTTGTCTGTGCCAGTTCCACATCCACAATGTATTCTGGTTTTTAACTTCTCTATAAATGATGTTCATCATAGGGGAGTTATGTTGATGCTCGCAACGTATTGTGGGTAATGTTTTTGTTATAGCATTAGTTTCTGTTATTTAAAATGAATACTAAAGGAATTGTACTACAACACTGTTAAATTGGAAACGCATGCGCACTCATGCGAACCAGAACAGAGGCTTCTTAATGAGAGGCCTCTGATTGGTGAATTCCCTGACACAGACTGACTGTGAAGCGGAAAAAGCAGAGAGATTGCAAAAGCTTCAGAAAGCAGCTTTTGCAAGCGTTGTTTTGTTTTCATACACTCTCAAAGAAAACAAGCAGAAGTATATATATTAAACAGTAAAAAAAAAAAAAGTATTCAAATTAGTGTTAGTATGAGAATGTCACCTTTATCTGTTTAGGCAATTAGTTAGCCCTTGTCTTACCATGTATGAGAGGAAGTGTATTACATTTGGAAGTTAACAGATACAGGTTCCTTGTAAACAAACATGTATTGTATACTTATTCAAGTGACTGAAAAGAGAAACTAGAGTTTAATAGGACCCTAAGCACCAAAACCACTTAATCCTAATAAATTATCTTTAGAGAGATGGTAATGTGTACATTTTGCCATAAAGACACCTCAACTAATAAAGGCACTTTATCATTAAAGACATATTTACCTATTGGCACAATGCCACCAAATGCTTTGATTGCACTGTAGTGCATGCTTCTATGTAAGAAGTATCCAAATGGCTGATTGTTACTTATGTCCATTAGGTCCCCAATATTTGTTTATAAAATAATCTGTATCAATGATCTCAGAAAATGAGTAACAGCTGCTTGGCATTGGATAAAGAGTGGGTGGGGGTAATCTAACTCTTTTAAGGAATGCTCTAATATTAAAGGGAAACACTAGGGCCAGTAAAACAAACTCATTTTTCTGGCACTATAGCTTCCCCTTCTGTCAAACTCCTGTCACTTACCTGGGTCCAAAAGCCACCTAAGCACCCAGAAGTCCCTCAAATGGCTGTCTGGTAGACAGCCACTAAGAGGAGATAACCCTAGGAGGTAATTATTGCAGTTTATTAATGTAACGGCACCCCAAGGCATAAAAGGGTTAAACCGCCGTTTAGTAGATCTTCCTTTCCAGATATACAGGCACAGCTACTGCAGAACACCAATCCACTGAACAGGAAACCATATGAATGCTGTAAACAGCCGAATAGGAAAAACCATACGAATAGGTTTACACTCCTAGCAGTCAAACTGGAACAGCATACAATAAATCCCCCAAGAACGAGACAAAGCTCCATGTTGAGGGTCAAGCAGTGAACAGAAAGACCTGTGGGTTTATTATCCTTATATACACATTCTTACACATTAGTACCGCCCACAGGGTTTTACACAACAACCAATCATAAACGTACATTAGAGAGTCACTCCCAGCAATTACACGCAAAAATCCTCCCCTCTGCCTGTGATATAATTATGTTACACAATGGTTTAACATAATCAACACAGGCAGTAAAAATACAGTTTTTATCCATACACTGTAACTTTAAAACTATATATCCAATATTAATAAAACTTACATATTATTAATCAGCACACTTTAAACATAAACATAACCAAAAATCAGCTAAATCCATCCAGGGGTTAAAAAGTTAGCTGGAGGTCCCTTTATGACTGACCGCAAGCACATTTTCATGCCCAAAACAGTTCCATAGATTTGGGCTGTGCGGTCGGTCTATTTCAGGCTGAAAAACGACTAAGTCCCATCGCCGATTGGGACTTAGTCTCTGCAGCTGAAATCAGGCTGAAAAAAACGTCTGAAAAAACGACAGTCTCTGCAGCTGTAAAATCAGTATGGGAGAAGGTAGGGCTCAGCGGTGTTCGCGGAAATGTGTAGCCGATTTTAGTTCCATGAATTTGGCTACACATACCGCTGACCTCGTTCGCATTAACAAAGATGGCCGCCACCACGTGTTCGGCAAACGAACAAAGGCCACCCAGCATTGTCAATTAAGGTGCAGTTAACCGCAGCTCCTGGGAGGTAAATTGTCTGCACACTTCCACTTCTGGGTGGTCTGCCTGTGTGGTACTTGGTTCAGTAAGCCCCATTTACTGAACCAAGTGGGAAATATCCAGGCACAAAGAGTTTTAACCAGGTCTGTGGACACAGGGGACACCGTCTTAAAGGGGCAGTGTCCCAAACAAGTCTGGGGACACCGTCTTAAAGGGGCAGTGTCCCAATCTTCCTGATGTCCCAAAAAGGCGTTTAAAGGGCCAGCACCAGTCCCACAAAGAGTCCATAAGCCACAATATGCCCACTGACTGTCTTAAAGGGCCATACACACCCAATAAAAGTGCATACGTTTTCACCATCTCCCAGGGGCCATAGTCATGTGGAAGGAGGCTGGCAAATAGGCTTCTCCAATGCAATGTGGCGAGATTGGTCTCGTCACAATTAAAAACTGCAATAATTACATTCTCAGGGTTTAAGGTGATGGGACACGGCACCCGGACCACTTCAATGAGCTGAAGTGGTCTGGGTGCCTAGTGTGTCCCTTTCAAATTACATATATTTGTTTTTGCTGTTTTCCTTTAAGTTAAGTTTCCACTCTCCTTAAACCATCTATAGCGAGACCTCCAAGTGTAGAAGTTGCTGCAAAAAAAGCCTTTGGATAGGCAGCTGCAACCTGCTTAGACGCTACTTGGTCAAATAATCACATGCTCAGGCCTGCAAGAGTGGGGAACATAAAAGTCCAGATGTGAGGGAAAAAGGACAAGAAGAGAAAGGGCAAGTCATTGAACCAGGAGACAACATGAGGAGATAAATGGGATAGCAGAGACTTTGGAGAGAACACCAAGAGTAATGGTGTCGCCCTTGCAAAACAGCAGGCATGGAGAGTGTGGTCAGAGCCTCTGGCAGGTGTAGAGTGCCTTAGTTGCTCTATCACAATCTTGATACTTAATAAAATTATTTGGACCGCTGCCACCGGTTCCCCTGCATCCACAATCCAGAAAGAGCAATCACTATGGTCTACACCAGCCACACTCCCTACTGGCAACTTTCTTGGACATTGTCACATAGAAACTCCCCCTTCCCCACTTCCCTGCAGAAAGGTAGGAAGGAGACGAAAAAAATAAAACACGGACCACCACCACACACTGAAACAAGAACCAGAAACATGGCATGGTAGGTACCTTTGAACAGCCCATGAGGCTGCCAGACCCAAACAAGCTGGGGACAATTAAGAATTTCCACCGGAGCTGGACGGTCAAATACCCCAGTAGAACTTCTTTAGATATCTGCTAGTGCCCGATTGCTGCAGGTGCAATTCATTTGTAACAGAGCTGGGAGAAAGTCATATCAAGTCCAAGTTCTTACCAGTGCTTGTAAAGGGCATTAGGGCTATGTATCTGGCTGTGTGTATTGGGTTGTGTTTTTCTGGATATGTGTATTGGGGATCTACGTATGTCTGGCAGCATGTGTTGGGTTGTGTATGTCTAACAATGTGTATCAGTGTCCTTGTGAGTATCCCATCAGTGTGGTTTGAATGTATTTCTGTGTGTGAGTCTGGAAGTGTGTGTTGGAGGCACACACAAATTACTATATACATACACACAATACTACATACAGACCATAGTTAACACAGACAGCTTCACATCCAGCCCCTAGAAACAACACTGGTAACCTACATAAAACCCCACAAGCAGCCTCCCCATAAATACAAATGCACTACCAGATACAATATATAACCCAGACACAAATCAGCCCCCTATACACAACCCACATTCATACACATAACATGTACATACACATATACATACATAGCACCCAATACCAAAAACTTTATAATAATGCTCACATATGCCAGAGCTTGACAAATTTGCTTGGAATCTAGGAGCCAGGTTTTTGAACATCAAATACAAGTCTATTAGGAGATGTTGACTGGGTCATGCACAATAGTTTCCCAATGCTTTCCTATAATAAAGCATTGAATTGGCTGGTCTCAACCATGGATAAGGGGTCAACTGTGGTGAAACCAGCAAAGCTTGATAAAATAAAAAGGGAATAACACACTTCCCATGTGAATGGAGGGGGCAGGTCACCTACACAGACACACACACACACTCATTGACAGAAACATACATGCATTTTCACATACACCTTGGATGATTTGTTTTATCTCAATTTAAATCCACCCAGCCTCCCTTCCTGGAGTGGATCGGCTTTCCTTGGGTCCAGTGATCTTCCTACTCTACTCCTTTTGTGAACCGTTTAGTGATGCTGTGGCCGGAGTGAAGTCATATACCGTCTCCTTGTATAAATCGAAGGCATATGAGGGAGCGAACAGCTCCTTTGCCGCCTCCTCACTCAGGCAGCTGCCCGTCCGCCTCAGCTGTCACATACTAAAGGTAGGGATAGATTTTTCTAATTTATTTATTTACAAATACAAAATAGGACTGGCACACCAAGGGACTTCAGAGTCTTGTTTAGGCAAAGTGCTGCAAAAAAGTTGCCTACCCTGCATTTGTCCGTACTCCCACCTCTGATGCTTGCCTTCAAAACTTTGAGGGCTGCACCCCTGTGGAACTTGCTTCCCTCCTCCATTAGATGCTCACCCAGTCTCCACTCCTTCAAAAAAAAAAAATCATTAAAAACCCACTTCTTCATAAAAGCGTATGAATTAAACTGTTAATAGCTCATGACCGATTCCTTTCTTGCAACTATCACTAGTCTAATACTATCCTTACCTTTTGTGTCACTTTACCCCACTCCCTCTAGCATGTAAGCTCATTGAGCAGGGCCCTCAATCCCTCTGTTCCTGTGTGTCCAACTTGTCTGGTTACAACTACATGACTGTTCGTCCACCCATTGTAAAGCGCTGCAGAATTTGATGGCGCTACATAAATAATAACATAATAATAATAATAATATAGAAAACCTTACATTACAGAGAAAATAAATGGAAAGATATAGTCTAGGGGAAGCTGGGTTGTATGAGATTGGGGTATCCAGTCTGGTTACGATGACAGGTTACTTACTTAGGAATAGGTAGACTGTGTATGACAAGCCTGGAATGACGGAGAATCACATATAATTCACGGAAGAAGAGTCTGAGAGACCAGGGATTTCATGCAAGAGGGACTTTCAGGGGCTTTATATAAATGCAAGACCTAGTTTACAAAATGTGGGTAAATCCATTGTGTATTTAAAAAGACGGTCTTTAAAATGGCCAATCACATTTAAATTTTTAACTTTCACTGGGCAGCAAAATAAACGAATAGTGGGAGCACAGCGCTGTATACTAACCAGTTTAAATTGGGTACATCGGTATCAAATTATTTTCTATACCATTAGCACAATGTGATTCTAGTGTTATCATCCAGTAATACGCAATATCTGTTCAACTCCACATCAGCAAAATGTGAAGATATGTACTTTTATTTATCTCCCATAAGAAAGCAAAAGGAGGCTAATGCTTAACCACCACAAAACACTGCGCCAATCAGCAGCACCTCAGAGATGCACTGAATCAATGTATCTCTAAAGGCAATGGTCAGCGTCTACATGTAAAGCGTGGAGACGCTGAACATCTAGCAGCCTGCCGAGTGACTGCCATTCTAGATGCTCCTAGACAGTAATGTAAATCCTGCCGTTTGCCTGAAAGGGCAGTGTTTCCATTAAAAAGCCTGAAGGAACTGACTATAATCACCAGAACAAATACATTAAGCTGTAGCTGTTCTGGTGACTATACTGTCCCTTTAAATAAAAAAAAGAGAAACACAACTATGTAACCAGAGAAACTTCAAACATCGCATTTTAGCACAGGATCGCACTATTAATTAAGACCTCCACTCGGGTGATACATTTTGTTAACACGAAAATAGTAACCATTCGTTTCCGTAACAGGCGCCATCTTAATACTCCCACCTCGCAGACATAATAGACGAGCGACCCACCTGAGCGGCCTGTTGTCATTACGTCATATCCGTCCGGCTGCCATACGGTCACAGCGACTTCCGGTGTGTCTGTTAAATCGCGATGGGATAGGCGCTTAGTCCACACTCACCCAACGTCAAGCCAGCGACTGGCATACAAACCCGCCCGTTACTATGGCCATTGTCTCTATAATTGTATAGTAGCGGTTAATGCCTGGGTTACAAGCCGTGTGCTGGCTAAGCTGGCGATCCTGCGGCCGGCGTGCAGCTTCCTGGTCCTCTCTCCCCCCATGCTGACAGTGTGCTCACTCTCTATAGACCATAGGCATTGTACAGGAGATGGCAGGTGGCGGTTTTGTAAAAAAGAAAAGAAAAAAAAACAAAACACTTTAATATCGGTTTTGATTATATTTTAGTTTCCACTAGGTAACTGAAAGCATTTTACTGTACTCGCGGAGGTCCTATAAAAGGTGATATTAATTTTCCATTGAATAATTTAACTTATTCAATGGGAAATGAATCCCACATGGCAGAGGTCGGACCACATCAGTGTTGATTATTTTATACCAATAAACACAAAAGAAGAGGGACAGAAATAGACAGAGTGTGGACATGGATTGCTCCTATAACCACACTTTAGGCCAGGCTTTCCTAAACTCTGGCCCTCCCATGATTCTCAGCCTATTTTATCCATAGAATCATGGGAGTTGTAGTTAAGCAACATCTGGAGGGCCGGAGTTTGGGGAAGCCTGTTTTAGACGTGATACATGCTTCAATCTAGTGCTGCTTCCACTTCCCTCTTTTGCATTTGGTTGTGTGGACCCTTTTCCCTACCTTAAAGCGGCACGGTCTTACCTTTCTCCAATCGCTTCTTCCTCTTTCCCTCTCTTAGGATCTTTTCGTCTTCCTATCTAATCTAGTTTTCTTTAAAACATAAGACAAAGTAGGGACTACTTTGTCTTTTTTATTTTTTTCTACACTTGACCAGCTCTGACCCACTTCTTGTGGGTCAAATACATTTTCCCACAGTACTCACCCTTTCCTCAGTGATCTCGCGATGCCTCCTTTCACTATTCCCAAACGTCTTGTCATTTAGACAGGACGCCAACAAAACCAAATGTTGTCCTAACAGAGAACAGTTTGTCCATTCGTGTTCTGGTGACATTCGGTAGTTTAAGATCGTTTTGAAATTTCATTTGAATGCAGCTAATAGATGATATAGGTAATAGCTTACCTAATAAGCTATCTTATTAGATAGCTCCCTAATTCCCACGGTATTAGAGAGCTATCTACCAAAAGGCTGAAACACCAAGATTGGCCTTTCAGCAAACTTTACGAATAGTAAATTAGGGAGACTGCCCCTACTCACTATGCTGCAAGTAGGGGCATGTCTACTTAACAGTGAGCAACCTGTGACTGCTCACTGTTAAACAATAAATTGCCCCATGGTGGGGCATCTACAAACTAGCGGGCCCCCACTTGTGCCCTGCAAGTTGGCGCTATTTAATTAAACGAGGGACATAGGGTCCCCCCCCTGCCACCACCCATGAGCAGTCCTAAAAAAAAATGAGGAGAGGACCTAGTGTCCTCCCCCCGGCCCCCACCCATGAGCAGCGGGTGGGAGCCCTATAAGACAATGAGGGGGGAGGACCTATTGCCCCCCATCCATGAGCGGCGGGTGGGGGCCCCAAAAGACAATGAGAGGGGAGAACCTATTGTCCTCAACCCCCTAGCCCCCACCCATGAGCGGCAAGTGGGAACCCTAAAAGACAATGGGGGGTGACCTATTGTTTCCCGCCCCTGCCCATGGGTGAAGGGTGGGAGCTAAATTAAAAAAATACCCGCCCCCAAGGTGACCAGGGGTCCACAAGTCCCTAGTTACCCACTCACCCATAAAAAATAAAATAAACTCCTACCTACCCCCTCATTCTAAAAATAGTGAGAAGGGTACAATAAAATTAAATACCTGTAAATTATTATTTTATTTTTTTAAATTACCATTTGATGTCTTCTTTTTTCTAAAACCCTTTTTCAGCCCAAAAAATTGCCAAATTAAAATCCATTAAGGCCGTCGAACTTTATATTATATATATATATATATATTTAAAAAATAAAAAAGACCAGAGCAAAAAATATATAAATAAATATAAATTATAACTCCTTCCGACACCCTGCAATTTGACTCAGAGCACTCTGAATGGTTGGTTTAAGCCAACCAATAGAGTGCTCTGATAGGTAAATGGTGAACTTTACAGGTAACCAATGCTCACTGTTTAGTAGACATTCCCCTACTCGCGGCATAGCTAGTAGGGGCAGTCTCCCTAAATTACTAATACTAAGTAATTTTTACTTAGTATTAGTAAAATTGGCTGAAAGACCAGTCTTGGTCTTTCAGCCTTTTGGTAGATAGTGCCCTAACGGGATGAGGGGGTGACTAGAGGCTTGGGGATGGAAAAAATGATCCCATGCCAAAGTTTAAAATATGCCTTTTGAAATATCCTGGGATGTCTTCTTTGATGGACCACTCCACACCCCAAAAATTACTTCAGCTTGAGTACCCTCATTTAACCCCAGTTTCTGTTAGAAATCAGCACTTTTATAAATTAACTAGGGAACTCCCCCCTGGCTGTCAAACAGCCAGGAAGGATCCCTTCCTACTTTAGCGTGCCTGCCTCCCCCTCCCTCCCCAACAGACCTCAGACCAACCTTAGCAGTGCACAAGTGATAGGGAGTGCGTGCACGAACATGCGCGTGTGTATGCCGCAGTGCGCAAGTGTGCCCGAGCTGTCTCGCATGTGCACGTGGGGACCAAGTCAGAGGCTTCTCAATTCTGAAACTGTGAGGGTTTTTGGGGTGGGTGGTTTGGAAGAGTGGAGTGGTCCTTTAAGAAATGGGTATGACTTTATGGGGTAGTTGGAATATGTAGCCTGCTAAAGTGTTCCAAAGTAGGACACGGACGCATCAAAGCCCTCCTTGAAAAATCACACTTAAAAACCTGAACTTGTCACATCTCTTTTAGAGCATTGTAACTTCACAAAATAGTGTCTAGGTCATACATTGGGCATATTGTTTTACTCAGAAGATGTAACCGAGCATAATTTGGGGAATTTTATGACATTGGCACATATCAAGTGTATGAAATACTCAGAATAAAATGTAACATGTATGTAAAAATGCAATTTTTTTCCCCCCTCACCACAAACATTGACATAAATTGGTGGAAAAAACGGTGACTTGTTGAGGCACAATATACGCCATATAAGATACCCTGGGATGTCTGCTTTATCAAATGGAATCCCTGTGTGGGGTTATTTGAACAGTCAAATAGCTATAATACCCTAACATGAGACATAGGCCCCTTAAATCTATGAAAATTCTAAATAAAGAAACTGAACTAGCCTTGTCTCTTATATGGCATTGTAGCACTAGCTTCACAGAATAGTGTCAAAAGGCATACAACGGGCGTATCATTATACTCAGGGCAGAAATCGGGATATGGACAGCCCTGGGAAAAAAATCTATGCCAGCCCCATAAGTCATTGTGCTATGTAGTGTGAGTTTGTATATATATATATATATATATATATATATATATATATATAAAAACCAAGTAGATGGCTGCACTCACGGTTCTGTGTAAAAGTCCAAAGTTTATTGAAGATGCATAAAAAAACTTGCGATCAACGTTTCAGTCCTTCTAAGAGGACTTTCTTCAGGATCATAAAATATATATATATATATTTTTTTTTTTATTGGTATATTTATTTTTCTAATTCAAAATATAAGTCCTTTCAGGGTAATTAAATTATACAGTAAAGCATACTCACATGCAGACACAGACAATCTTACTGATGCACACAGATAGGCTCATTGACTGACAATCTCAATGACACACAAACAAGGTTACTGGTACACACAAATTTAGTATAGACAAACTCTGATACACATACAAGCTTACTACAGACAAGCTCACTGATGTGCGCACACTCTCCCTACAGACAAGCCTATTGACACACACATGCTTACAGTCACACACGCACAGGCAGACAGTCTCACACACACAGGCAGACAGTCACACACTTCTTACCTCCACATCCCTTGGAGCTCCTGGAGACTGGTTGTTGGGGAAGCAGGGACTCCTTTCTGGTTCCCATGCTGCAATTACCCTGCTCATTTAGTCCCACCCCCATCGAACAGTAAGCTCTGCCCCCTTGCACGCTAAGCTCCGCCCCGTTGCACGCTAAGCTCCGCCCCCTCCGCAATATTGTATTTTTGTCTTTTTTTTTTTTTTTTTAATAGTCCCAGCTGGCCATGTGCGAGCCATTTAAGCCTCCTGGCGCCCCCTGCTCCCATGGGGCCCTGTGCGGCCGCACAGCTCGCACATGGCCGACCGGGATTACAGGAGCATGATCAGTGATGTATATGCCAAAATAAAGAAAAAACAAACAATTTTACTCCAATATTTAGCAGAGATTGGTGATGAAATGGCTACATAAAAAGCTACGTAAATAGCCTGTGATGTCTACTTTATATAAATATATACTTTTGTGTGATGGCTACTAAATTTACAGTACAAACATACCAGCTTCTAAAATTGTTACAAACTAAAATTTTATTTTAGTCCTTGTATTTTGTGACCTGTAACTTTTAAAATAAGCTGAAATCCTATACATATTATGTACTCTATAAATCAAGACACATAAATGAATTTATTTTGAATTCCCTTTCCAATGCTGGACATATTATGCACATGCTATTATTACCAAAAATCCCCCCCCCCCATTTTTTTGGCTTTTTTTTGGCTTTTTTTTCTTTTGTTAATTATCTATGTATATGTGACATAAATTTAAAGCCCTTTTTTCCCTCTAAAAAACGGTATATAATATGTATTGGTGCAATAAATGAGAAAGATGCAAATTGTGGTTGAACAGAACCAGCAAAAAATTAAATATGGCTTGTGTCCTTAAGGGTAAGACAAGCTTTTGAAGC